CATATATATATATACACACACACACACAGACATACATGCATACAGACATTTGTTAAAGCCTCAAGAGTTCATAGAATCAAATGTCAAAAGCTTAAATTATTTGTACAAAGAATAAAGAGTTTGGGTTAAGACAAATTTTGGAAAGTGGTCACATTCTATATATACATATATTTATTTTTTTAATAACTTTTTTTTTTTGAAAGCATTGAAAAATTTAGAATATTTTGAGAGGAAAAGCATACAGGAATATTTAAGTTAATACTTTGTGTCCACACGAGTAAACACTTAGTGTTAAATATTATCAGCACAAAGGTGAAGCTTAGATTTATTCTGGCAATTTTTATCTTGCTTTTCAGTTTGTTAGATCACATAGGAAAAATGATAAGCAAATGAGTGCATAAGTGATTTGAACAAAATATTAACATTATGATGATCAAGAAATATGAGAAATAAATTCCAAATAACTTGAATTTTTTAAAACTCAATTGAAATTAGATTAAAAAAATTATTAAAGAAGAATATTAGCATTTGAGGTCTGTACATTATGTTTGTCATCACTTGTGAAGAGTTTGTATATTTTCTAGATATTTGGGCACTTTGCAGTGTAATATTTAACAAGTGAATCTTGAAGACTATTACTAATGCTGTGAATTTGATTCTAACTGGATTCCATACATATGTCACCTTGTTCTGAGATGAGCTTAGTAAATACCTATATTATAGATATTTACTAAGTTTAGTCTGATACAAGGTCACCATAGAGGAGCAAAGAATAAGGACTGAATTACTGAGAAATGGTTTGCAAATCAAGCTTCCAAACCATTTTAGAAAATACATTTTTATTAATGTAATTTTTTTTACTAAACGTTCACTCAATAAAAGGCCCAATAGCCACTCAAAGTAGAGGATTATTAAATAAGGTTGTTGTATCGTTGAAAGAGGAGGAAGTAAATACAGATTAGGAGGATATGTAGGATAGATAACAGTTGACATTAGGCTTGAAGAAGTTAAGATTATAGTCATTTTGGGAAATATTTTCTATGGTGTTTGTTCCACAAAGTAGTTCTCAGGAAGCTGCTGTTTGAATGAATATTCCTTCTTGGAATGCAATGGAATGCAAAGGGGATGAGGATGATTTCACCCTATGTATGTGGCATGATAGGTGCTGATTATAAAGGCCTGAACTGGTGAAATTAAGAAATGTAGCTTGTCTGAACATTTGCCATGGAAATAGCAACAGGCTTGTAATATTAAGTAGTTTATTACTTTATTTCATGTAAGTGTTTGCTAATGTCAGCATCATAGAATTGTGGTATATAAAATTTATGCGAAAAGGAGTCTAGTTTATGAGTACTGTATATACTCAAGTATCGTGCAAGTTTTTATGATCAGTTTTTTAAATGCAAAAAATAGGAGGTCACACTATATGCAGGTAATTTTTTTAGAGAGGTTAAAAATCATGCATTTTTGGTGACCAGTTGCACTATATACATGTAAATTATTTCTAGAGAGGTTAAAATTCATGCAAATAAAATTTCAAGGGTTGCACTATACATGAAGTTGGCTTATACACAAGTATATATGGTAATTAATATTGGAAGTAAACCGTTAAATCATTTTAATGACTGACCATTTCATAACAAATATTTCCTGTCCAACTATTTTAGGTTTGATCTTCCTAAAATGAACCATATTAGGTTGTTCTTTTCAGTCTTTAACTTGGTTAACCATTCCTTTTCAAGTCTTGCTAGTAGAAGATAGCTAAATTCTCCACTTAACACATTTATTATCCCCTAATGAAAAACCCTATTTACAAATTTAATCCCAAACAGCACCTTATTATGACAATAAAAGCATTCAGGGAATCTAAGTCTTTTACTTACTTCATGTTTGGTTCACTGTAGAAGAATAAATACACAAGATGAATAATCTAGAATACTTTCCCTCTTCAATTTCTAAGCCCAAGTGTCACAACTGGTGAACACTGGTAAATAATCACTAAGAAATGTCAGAATTCTAATAAAATACCAAATAATTGCATCCTCATCCTAAAAAATATAAAATGTCTAACTTTGAGAAGAGTCATTAACATTCCAATGGGCAATTGAACTCATTCTTTGTGTTATTGATATTGTTAGCACAGCATTTCAGCCAATCCATACTACATTTTAGTTCTAACAATTGTTTCTGTCTTTAAAAAGCTGTTTTGTTGCTTTCAACCAAGTACAGGTCATTTGCAATTAAGTGAAAGAATTAAGGATATGAGTAGTACCTTCTAATTTAACAATTATTAGTTCTTTGCTGTTTCTAGGATTGGTAATAAGAGCATCAACCAGAGACAACTTGTTACCTATAATAGGTATACCATATGCAAGAAATATGACTGAACACATCCAGTGGAGAGTGAGAAAACTGAAAGCAGTTGCATATGTTATCTTGTAGACAAGTTGTGCAAAGTCAATATGAATTCCAGTGTATGCAGTTTTCTTTGATCAGAAGGAAAGTATTTGAAGAACATGCATGTATATAAATTAGAATTACCAATGTTAAATGGGTGGCAGTAAATGATATCACCTGTGTCTTGTATTGCTGGAATGAACTAATTTGTATATTAGCTACTATTTTCTGTTTGTCATCTTGTTATGGAGAATAGAAACACTACACTGTTTTCTTTATGGATTATATATACCAGTTGAAGAGACTGAAGAATGAATCAACCAAAACAATATGGTAACAACATTAGCAAAAAATGAGTTCAAGCATCCAATATTGGAACATAGATTTTATCAGTACAAGACTGACCACAAAAGGCAAAGAATTAATGAAACTATAATTAATCTTCTTGAGCTATTTTTCAAACATGGAACTATTATTTGGAATAAAATGAATTTAGCTTTGTGGATGTACTAATATATTTTAGAACCTTTCTTGTTAGTAGTTTGTATTTTTTTTTTTTTTTGTTTTTTTTTAGAAAGGAGATATTTCTGACTAAGCACAAGATTTACTGTATTGGATGAAGGTTTTCTCTCCTATCCAAGATTATGTTAGAAGCAATAATAAAGTGCGGGGATGAAATTTAATTTCTTATTCAGTGGATACAAAAATTTGGAAAGATTGTCATTTACATTTTTGTGAACAGGATTTAAAAATAGTAATTGTTATTTTTAATTCAACACATCATAGAAATGATTATTATTAAAGTTTTAAAATTTGGAATTTGATTGTGTTTTTAATTCAACAAATGACGATTTGTCTGTTTCAATTGAGGAAATATATTACTGGTATATCACATTACAATTATTTCAAACTCAACAAAATGTGTACGTTTTTCATGTAACAATAATAATATTATTATATTAAGGTCTTTTTTTTTTTGCTTTTACCTAAGCTTATAGTTAAGCATTTTTTAAATGTTTAATAAGTGTTTTGCATAATTTTTAAATACAACTTCATTTTTATTTTATTAAAAGATTTCTCCTGATTCAAATCTTAGAGGATTGTTAGATTGCAATGTTGGAAACATTGAAAATGGATTTCTCTAAATAATTTTTAAAGATGTTTTCAGTTTTTATCATTAAAATTTATTTTTTTTCTATCACCTTAAATAAAAACATGATTTTATTTAAACACCTAATCAGAATATGAATTTTTAAAAAATGTTCTTTTTAAAAAGGAATGGTTTTTATCAAGTATATATTCCAATAATCATCCATAACAAAAATACTAAAACATCATTCATTTAGTTTAAATGACTGAAATGATTATGTAAGGCATCACATGGAACTTTACATAGATATGAAAATAAACAGTTACGAGAGAAATAGAGTCTAACATGGTTTACAAACTGAGAAGCCATGTTTCTTATATAATAATTTCTAGAGGAAATTAGTTTTTAGAAAAGGCTGTCATCATTTTGAACTTTCAAAAGATATTTAATTAGAAAGTTTTTTGAAACTTGTATCTTAAAATATTGAATTTAGGTTTAATCTTCACTTGTAATTTAAGTGATATGACCAACCAGTTATGAACAAACACAAAGTCACTGAGATGAAAATTAACTCAAGTGACAAAAGATACAGCAGTTGTAAATGAGAACTGAATTGCATTTTACTTTCCTAAATTTTACTCAAGTGTGATTTATAAAAATTTTTTTTTCAAAAAACCCAAACATTTTATCATAATCAATAACATTGGAATCTTGTAAGATATAGCTTTTTCTTAAAAAATATGGCTTTTTCAAAAAAGAAGGAACAAATCTGGAAGTAGATAAATTATACAGAATTACAAAAGTATAGACACACACAATGTCAGGAATAGAAAATTTTTGCAATTGTACTAGGGGTGTTGATAAATTCTAAGCATGACCCACTTCTCAAAAATCAATGTTCTGATGTTAATCATTTAAACATTGGCAAATGGAATTTCTTGCTCACAAAAAGCGGATTGTTAAAAGAATGTTTTTTTTTCCCCATGACACTGCTTTTATTTTAACTAATCCTTGGGAATGATTTTTGTTTTAAAAGCAATGATTAGAATTGTAATAAAACCTAAACATGTGATGAAAGTGAATTTAAACATTTTTTGTTCTTGAGAATTTACAACAAAAATATAAAAACACTATTAGACAGTCATGGGAAAAACTGTCCTTTTAACATTCAGTTTTTTTTTTTTTCTGGCACAAAAGTCCATGTTTGCCGAAATACAGATGTTGAGAATTGAGTTAGGCTAAAAACTGTTCAGTAGCCCCTCATAGAAAATATAAACATAGTATTTATATCAAATATACCAGCATTTAGAATATACATTTCAAGGACACATTGTATAAATGCAGAATTACATACATTTTTCATACAAAAGTGAAATTTCAGAATTTGATAAAGAAGAGCAAATCTACTTCCTAGATAAGAAAATTCTTCTATGCTTAAGATACAAAAATCATGGATGCAGAGGTTTTACATATCCCACACATTTTAACAGGATGTTGATGACAATTTCAACATCTATAACAATTTTGGAAGTTGTTTAAGTTTCGCGATATCAAGAATTCTATTTTCTGTGTCCAATTCTTCATTTGTAGGACTTTGAATTGGCACAAAGACATTCTCCATAGGTGAAGAGTCAATCTTTGGAAATGGCTTCAACACTGGTGTTGACTTAGACAGAGGCTGAAAGCGGTTGCAAGGAAGAACAGTTCCAGCAGCTACCCCAGCAAGGGGTCCTGCAACTTGAGGTCGGTCTTTGTTGTTGCGACAGGCTAATGGAGGTGAAGGAGAGAGTGTACCAAATATATTGGGATAGCTACCATCCTGTTCAGACTCCTGTAATAGAGAATTTGTCTCTGTAGAATCCTGAATAATTCTTTGGTTATTTTTTGAATCTGACTCAATCAGATGGTGCTTCTCCATGTATTTGCGTGTAGCAAATGTCAGATTGTTGACACACATGCCATACTTGCTGATATCTGCCCCACTTGTATCTGGGTTATTCCGCATGATCTGTCGAAGGAGAACATTCTGGCAGAGAGGTCTTGCACTGGAGGCCTCTTGCTTGTGGAGTTTGGCAATCTGAGTGAGTTGATCATCTTTTAGGTATTTCAATGCAAGAGAATTTATCTCTAAGGAAGTTTCTGTGTCAGAGTCCAGCAGCATCGATGTATAATTGATTTTGGGGACAAATGTACAATCAACCAAATTCAATTCAGATCTAAAAGGAGAAAAAAAAAGAAATAGAAGATAAGTGCAGTTCAAAATTCTTAGTTTACTGAATACAACAGACACCAGAAAAAACTGGAAGGTACAATGGCCAGAATGTTGTGATTAAAACAAACAAGAAAAAAACACTAGTTTGAATAAATCAATGTAGAATAATTTCTCATTGCATAAATTCAAACAGAAATTTTATTAAACAAAAATGTAACTTGTTTTAGATTTATACTATAAACCTGATTTAATTGCGACAAAAAAAAGAAAAAAAACCACCTTGGGAATAAAATTAAATTTACTAATAACATGAATTTTATCTTCTAGTAATCCATGACCAACATCTTAAATATTTTTTTTTTCCTTAAAAACTCCTTATTTTTTAAAATATAAACTTTAATCCATTATAGTGTTCAAAGTGTAGATTATAAGATTTAATACTAGTCTTGTATTTTTTCATGGAATGTATGAAAGGGTGTAAGTTGAAATACAACCTTTTTTGCATGTTTTTCCATTTTTAAAATAGGCAAACTGATTTTAGAAATCAGTAAGACATTTTATGAAGTTAGGAACCAATTTAAAAAACATTTAAAAAGGAGATATATTGATTTAAGCTACTTTCAAATTTCTTTTTTTGCGATCACAAAAAATGCACATATGTCCTTTTAGCATCACATTAACATCCTACACTCAATTACATAATTTACTATTTATGTAACAAGTGATGTCACAGGTAGGATTTATATGTTAAAACTATTCTTCAGTGATTGCATATATATATATATATATATATATATATATATATATATATATATATATAATGTTGAAAAGTTCTCAACTAAAAAAAAAGAAAATAATCTGATTGGGATTGGACTGAGACTTTATCAACACTCCTTGCTGCATAATGACATAGCAAATTCTGACAGTTGGAACAGAAAAATTAAACAATAATCATGATTGTATTTTAGCATCAATTTCAATTGAATCCAGTCTACAAAGGCAAGATTTAAGCTTTTATCAATGTTCACTCACTTTATCACTACTCTACAATTACAAAACGTAGCTTTAGTCATTTTCTTAAGTAACAAACTAAATATTTCTAATAGTGTTGTAACCTAGGGAAGGCTACTAAATAGAATAATCACATGAAGGTTGGTAATGAATGATATTACTTAGGACACGAACAACACATATAAGATTCACCAGCGGTAGTAGTCAACTGCTAGAAGTGAGTCAAATGAATTCCACAATGAATCTCCAACTGCAGACCAACATACAGTATTTATTTATTTATGTGAACGGGGACATTCACATTATTGTCCATAGGTATGCTACAACAAATGGTAGGAAGAAAAATTATGAATGATTAAAATCTGTTTAAGCAAATGTTTGCGCTTACTCTATAGACCAACTGGGGTTCCCTGGAAGCCTAAGGTTCCGTAAATGGTCCCCAAGGGTTCCACGAGAACAGGTGAGATAAGCTAATGCAATTTTGACTTTTTATTTAATTTAAGCTAAAGACAGGCTCAGGCTTCACATTAGAGAAGCAGGTTTCACTTTATCAAATGACACTGAAAGTAACATTTTCTTAGCCCATTTATTGGTTCACAGGATATTTTTCTTGACTTACCTTATGTCTTTTCAGTATTACCAGTAAAGGATAGAAAAATAAAAAACTGATGCAGCAATTATCTGTTTTTGTTCTGTTTACATTTATATTATAGGTATATGATATTGGTTACTTGTTTATTTTTTTACATTTGAGATTAGAATTTTTTTGTGTGAATGAAAACACCCTGATGAAGTATTATAAATGAACAATATGAATTTTATTTAGTATTACCGAAAAATTTGACAAAGAAGTATTAATTTTTCCTTAAACCAGTTATTCAAAAATATATACTATGATACTTACCACATGAACTACGATGAAGATAAAATGAGAAAGATATGATATATAATTTTGCTTTTGTGCAGAGGTTCCTTGAGACATGTAATTTATTTTAAGGGTGACGCAAGGGTAAAAAGGTTGAGAAATGCTGCTATAGACTGTATATCGAAAATCAGGAAGAAAGGGATTATCAGTGGTCAATAATCAATACAAAGTTACTCACAAAATCAAGATATTACATGTATAAGGTAAATCCACAGCTAATAATTCTACTATAGGAAAGTATTAGAAGTAATTTTACTGGAGAATTGTATTGAAAATCAGAGGAAAATAACTGTCAACAATTAAGATAATTCCTAACCACTAATAATCCCATTTTTCTCGTAAGCATTAATGAAAGAATATATATATAATTCTATTAAGGAATAAAAAAAATTGTCAAGAAGATATAGAAAAATATTACATGACTTATCTGGCTTTTATTGACAAAAATTATCAAATAGAATGAAAAATGTTAATTTCCCATGCAACTGAACCTATACAATCATACAAAATAATCCTAAAAAATAAAGCACACAAACACAGTATTTACCTGTGACAGGATTCATCTGCAAATAAAAGACTATCATCTCTTATTCTGCTTGTTTCATTAGCAAGGTAATTTTCATTACCAGGAGAGTCTTTTGTCATGTCTGATTCAGTATCTTGTAGGGGAGCATTTTCTTCAGGGTCTTCTCGTTGCAACAGTTGCTTTACATTATTCTGCAATCACAACAGGTTTTATAGCCAAAAACAAACAAAAATACATAAATTCAAGATAGGTTTGTCCAAGACTATTATATTTATTTTGATAACTTATAACTAGTCATTTTTATGGCCAAACTACATTATGGGAACTGACATTGAGCTATCAAAGATACTTAGAATGACGAATGGGAAGAGTCATAAAAACATTCTAAACAATATCAACTGAAATTTGTTTAAAACTCATAATTAAATAAAAACTAAAATACTAAATACTTATTTTCTGACTTATGCTTTGATTAAAAAGCAAACAATTTACAGGGTGCGATGGGTAAATTATCGCCATTTTTATTTTTAATTTTGTGCATGTGCATTGTTTTTGACTTTGTCAACTGCACAGTATAGTAGGGTCAGTTGAGCATAGTGTTACGTGTTGATAATTGTAACAAAGGAAAAAAAAAATGATTTATCACAACATAGAGCTAAATCACAAACAAATATTTAATTTACTAAAACACAACATAAAATATATACCAGATAAACAATTGTGGCCTACAAAACAGAAAACAGAGTTACAGGCGAAGTGTTACGAGGGAGAAGGAAAGGGAATCAAATATCTTTATCACTTTAGGGCTAGTGAAGTAATCTAAGTGCTATATTTGGAAATCTACAAAGGTGTGTAAATAAATATTAATTTTTAGTTTGGTCAATGAAAATTAGTCAAAATTCTATTTACCAAATTTGTCCAATGAAATTCTCTTTTGGGTTTTGGTTGGTCGGCAACTTTTTATAGAGATTCTTTCGGCTGGATATAGTAGTCCTTGAATCAAAAGCCTGAGTTGATACTGACAGCAATTTGTTTTCACCAACTGACAACCCTTTTCCAAAATCCCACCTAACACCTAATTTGCATATTTCTAGATGTTTCTCGAATCATCTAGATTTTTCTTGAATATACTAGAATGAGCTAGAATCTTCCAAACATTCTATTTCTAATTTCTCTATTTTACAACTACTTCATGAATGAAAACTTTTTTGTAATAACAAGTAGAACTCAATGGAATCCCTTATTATAGAAATGCATCCTCATAACAATAGTCTGTGAGAAAAAGAGCACCATGATGCAATTAACTGTCAGAAATTTGAAAATGGCATGTTGTATTGCTTGGCATTTGTGCCAGAAGCTACAATATGAACATTTCAGAGTATTGAGGTGTCAATCTGAGGACAATGCAGAGAATTTGGAAGAGTTAGATGAGTTTCATGGTGATTTTGAAGGTGTTTGGAGTGATCACTAATGGTGATATTATGCCTCCATTCATCTTCCCACAGGGCCTCAGCCTCAACATGGAGTCATATATAAAGTGCTTTGAGGAGGTAGTGTTGCCCTGGGTCAATGAGGTGGCTGCTGAAAGACCCTATGTCTGGCAACAGAACTCCACACAAACAGGAGAACCCAGTCATGGCTATCAGACAATTTCTGTGACCACATCATCCCTTACATCTAGCCACCTAAATCCCCAGATGCAACATCCTTGATTATTATGTGTGGGACATAGTTGAGTGAGTGACCAACAAAACTTCTTGTAACACCAAAGATGAACTGAAGGCAAGAATTATGGCAGTATTCACCAACTTAAACAAGGAGACTGTCCAGAAGAGATTCTGATGTTGTCTGAAGGCTGTGGTTGAAGACAATGGTGATTTTATTGAATTAATTTACTCTTTAGTATTTCAAGATATTTTTGCGTAATTTTGGTAAATATATCTGTTAAAATGAGATGTCAGTATTATTTTCATTTTTGCATAATTTAGACGACAACTTATCCATCGCACCCTGTACTTTTACCTAAAAAGAGATATCACATTCTATTCTTAGTCAGAAGTCTAAAAGGACTTTTCACTGTGCTTAAAAAAAAAAAAAAAGTCTAATATTTCCCACTTTTTAAATAGTTAATTTTAAATAAATCTCCACTTATTCTGCACAGATCAAATTATGATTGGATCAATAGGTAGTAAGGTGAATCATATTATCACTGAGAACTTGAGTGCTCTAATGTGGCAAATAGACGTTTGTTGTGAAATAATTACTTTCTGTATTTAAAATAAATAAGTAAATGAATGAAAATTTAATACAGATTTATGAAAAAAAAATCATACCACTTACAATAAGCTGTTCATAACACTCTGGTTTGTTAGGAAGAACCTGTGGATTACCGTGACCAGTGTCATCATCATCATCTGTATCTCTTTCACTGTCTGTATGCTGCATATAAAAATAAGAAGTCAAGTATTATTGTTACTTGCTAGACATAAAAATAAGTCACTCTAGCAGCAAATGAAGAACTTATTTTCTATCATTTTTTTTCTAAAGAATTTGGAATTAGCACCTCAACAATCCCAGTACCCTATACTTTGCTATCAACCACCTTTGAGCCAACCCTGATAAGACCCAAATCAGTGCCTTGCACCTACGGAACAAAGAAGCTAACAGCCAACTCAAGACAAATTGGTATGGAAAACAGTTATAGGACAATCCCAAACCTATCCACCTTGGGGTCACTCTGGACTGGTCCCTTATATACAAGGACCACATTGCAAAGACTAAAACCAAGGTTGAATCAAGAAACAACATTCTAAAGAAATTAGCTAACACCAAATGGGATAACCATGCTGGTAAAATGTGCCCCACAGTCTTAGCCCTTTGCTACTCCACAGCAGAACGTGACTCACCATTGTGGAGCAAATCATCACATGAACAGAAAATTGACCCTGCTTTAAACACCTATTGCAAATTGATCACTGGATATCTCAAGCCAACCAAAGTAGATGACCTGTACTTGCTTAGTGGCATTGCTCCCCTTTACATAAGGACAGCCCACTCCCAACTTGAGAAGTTGAAGCAGGAAATTGACCCTAGTCATCCACTCCAGAGCTGTGAACCAATGACAAAGAGGCTCAAGTCAAGAGACAGCTTTTTACACTCAGCTAAACCACTGAACAATATAGCTTCTAGTCAGCATCTGTCCCTGTAGTGCAGCCACCTTAACAACATGGAACATGGTCACTCTCTCAGTCCTACAGAATCCCCCCTGGCACCAGTGATGCTTGGGACTTCTAATCCTCCTTAAATCACCCACAAACAACAGCTGGTTGTGGTAGTCCCAATCTTCAGAAATGGGGATATGCCACCAATGTTTATCCCAAATGCCAATGCAGGGAATCACAAACTATGGATTGTCTTCTAGTTTGCCCCCAATTTTGAAGATCCATGCACACTTAATGACCTTGAAACCTTAACACCCCAGACATGGCTCTATGCACAATACTGGATGGGTGTGGTGTAGTGATTCAATAAAAAGACCTCAAACAATATAACTTTTTTCTTTTACTCAATCAAAGAGTGTACTCAGAATAGCAGGACAAGCGGATCATTTCTTTAACACTATGAAACTTTTAGGCTGTAAGCAATCACAGCTCTCTACAGATGACTTTTCCTTTATTATCTATGAATTACCACTCTCTTGGAAAAAGATAAAGTGGTTTTCCTTACCTTCTCTTTGGTTTGTTTATTTTTCTAGGATAGTTGCCATCCAAAGCTAGAGAGATCAGTTTACCTTGCTATTTGATAGATAGCTGGAAACAAGTGATGAACTCATGCCTTTTCCAAAGGCATTAGTGTGAAAATAAATGCGGTAGTATAGGCTGGAATTTGATCTGTTCTCATCAATTCCAATTTCCACAACAATAACAGCGACACTGCCCACACAGATATAATATAGCAAAAGTAATGTACCTGCATTTGTATTTTGCATATTGTTGAGGTGAATGATACACAGAGAAGAATGAGTGCTTAATATATTTATTCATCACCAGTATGCGGTGCTAATGGATACATACAAAAAAAAAATCAATAATAAGTTACAAACAATTAACAAGACAACTTACAAGGAATAGATGAGGGTCAAATGCTGACGAAGTAAGATCAGTCTGAATATTAATCAGCTTAGTATCAACTTATTAATCAACTGTTGAAGTCCTTAATTGTAGACTATTTAAGACTATGAGCCAGGCCATCTAGTAGAGTGCTGAAGGGGTGCTAGCTACTCTACAACACATAACAAGGTGAACAATTTGTCATTTTTAGTTGGTTATCTTGATTTCAAAAATAGGGCAGGAAAAGATATACAGTAGATTTAAAAACTTATTCCAGCTGATAAATTTGGCATTGGTAGAATTCATCACCAGAGTGTGATGGTGAAAGCAGTGTTCAGTTTGTAGCAACAGTTGTGAATAGTACATCTAATGATAGGTCGAAGTTTGCAACAATGAAAGAGAGCACATCAAAACTATAAATAGTAGAGTTCTATTCACATAGAGTTCATTATTGACTATGCAGTTAGTCAAGAGAAACTAAGCTATACTTACATGCTGCATGTTGGCACACATGCTGGCACTGACCAGACTGTGAGAGGAAGACAATGATGGCAGTCTGTCAATATTTGCAGATTCTGTTGAACTGTAACATAAATCAATAGGTATTGCAATTCTTATCTGAATTTATTAGATAAAGTGTTGTTATTATTATACATTAATTCAGAGATTTCTTAATTTTTGTTGTTTTTAATACTGTGCACTCTAGTCTTCCTCAAGCATCTGTTGGATGATTATCAAAGATGGTTGAAGGACACAGTAATTGAATACTTGTTATAAAAGCAACAAAAATATGAGGAAACTGGTTTGAAAGAATCAATGTATAATAGTAACCATATTTAATACTGCAACAATTGCAAGTCATAGGCAGTTTATATTAAGAACTAAATAGATGCTTGGTTACATTCTTCAAAAGAATATACAGGATGTATATATATATATATATATATATATATTTGAGAGATAAAAAAGACAACAAAAATAATACTATTGATAAGATTAATAATATTTATTGTATATTAGTAGGCCTTTTGACCAAATAGATGCATGATGAGATGTTAAAAATTTTCAGACACATTTGTGGCCTTTCTCAACTTACTTTATTATCATGTGTGTATTCCAGTTAATCTAATGGGATTAGAGCTATTTCAACCAATTAGGCAATTGTTGTGGTGATGTGAAGAAAAAATGCATGCATTTTTAGTTTTATGCAGAGGGTGGGGGAGGCTGAAAATTTTTTTTTGCCTGATTCCAAAATAAATTTGGATTTTGAGTCAATTGAACAAATCTGGGGAAGTAGGCCATATTGAAAAAAACTTTCCAACACTTTCCCATAGCATAAAGTATGTAGGGAATATTTTCTTTCTTTTGTCAGTTCAAAAGCCAAACCTCTTTACAACTAAACAAATTCAGCAAATTTTTATTAAAAAAGAAAAAATCTTATAAAACAATTATAAGTTGACATATTGAATTCCTGTTATGCATTGATATTGAAAGTTGGCTCTGCCATAGTGCTGTGGACAAAAACAACAGTGGTATTGACTAAAGATAACTATCTTCAATAACTTCTTGTGCAAAATGACATTTCAAATTAGTCATATTGTATTTTTAGTTGATTTGGAAGTGACATGACAGATATAATTGTAGTGCTATTTATTAACTATTTATTACCAAGTAAGTGATACAACAACAATAAAACAAAGGCACACAATTCATGATACCTAGATGTAACAAGGATCAGTAATGACCCACCATTATAACACAGGTTTGTTCATGGTGGCCCAAATAAATGAGGGAAATTATTGCAAGTATCCTTTATTCAGGTTTTTTTGTTCAGGATTAAGAAACATAATTAATCAGAATCTATCGTTTATAATGTATACAATGGAAAGTTGTTTATTCTTTATGATTCACTTCACAGATACAAGAAAACTAAAATAACTTTCACTTCTTATTCACACTATTCCTTTTCTATTTTCAAATTTGCAATTAGCCTGGATGCAAAAAATAAGGAAAACTTATTGTCACAAAGTTTAAATTAATCAATGAGTTTACCCTAATATTTGTTACTACTTTATCTACTGAATTTCCAAAATATCACCAAATATTAAACCAGTTATAACACAGTTCAAGAGAGATCATTTTACTTTAGTAAAATTACTCTATAGTAACAAAAAAAAAAAAAAATTCTCTTACTTGATAGCTTTCAAAAAACACAGAGAGAGAAAAAAAAAGAAAAATTCTACAACTCCCTTTTTTATTAAAGGGAAACTTCCCAAATCTGAACATAGCATAATCTAGATATCTTCAAATTTGGACTCATCTTCAAATCTGAACTTTTGTATTGACATAAATATGAAGCCTTTTCTTCCTTGAATCAGAACAGTACTATCAATACTAAACATCTCGGATGTTCGGAGTAGAGGAGTTGTACCGTATATCTTTATTTTTGACTTCCTTTACAGAATGTAATTGATTTTGAATAAAATATTTCGTAAATTTTTAAACATTTCATAAAGTGTCTTAGTTTTTCACAAATTACAGTATTTGTTTAGCACAAATGTTTTCATTACTATTGGTTGTTAAGTATTTTTTGTATGTTTATGTATTCAATCTACACTTTAAATAGAAATGAATCAACATTACAAACTAACTTTTGTATCCTAAACTCTAAAACTTAAAAATTTTAAGATTGCCATAGCAGCCTTTTCTTCCTCAAATCCAAACAATACCCTCCATACCAAACAACTTGGATTTTTGGTTTAGGAATTACAGCATTAACAAAAAAAATCTTGAAAAGCTTTATTCTAAAACACATTCAAAAAATGTTTATATATACAAATAAGTAAAACCCAACAACAAGTTTAAACAATCAGACAAGCATACATAATGTTAAGTATATTTATAGTGACAGAAAACATGAAATTGTAAGGAAAATTGTAAATGAACAGTTTTGAATAAAAGAAGCTAACAAAAACAAAACAAATACATAAATATGATTCAATAAAGCTGATTAAGTTTGCATGTACATATAATTTCAGCAAATTAATAGCACATCTTCACCTACCAAGTATAAATATTGTTGAAATATAGTGTTTACTTTTTGAAAAAACAATGTCGAAATTGGCATGTTTTTGTTTGATTTTAATAATAAAAGGTGGAAGAAATGAGCAACATTTTGATGCTTTTTTTTTTATTAAAAGTAAAATTGCAACTGAAATAAGATTTAGTTTATAGCTTCTGTGAGTAATCAAAAAAAGTTGTTCAACTTATACAAGGACACACAAGGTAGAGGGTTACTGAAGGAGTCACTTGTGTGAACTGTATGAATAAGAAGTAAGAGGTGCAGTTTATGAGAATAAGTGGGAAAGATAATGGTTAATTCTAGATGAAGAGGCTAACACTGTAGTATTCAGGAGTCAGTTCCACAAAGTAGCAGTTCATTAGTGATAAGAAAAGACTTAACATTCCATCAGAATGTGCCAGTTTCTCTGATGACCCCACAAAAATTGTTATAGGTCAGCTGATGAGTTTTGACTCATTCACCAAATTATCATTTATTCTGGCCTTTAAAGAATTCTCTTAATGAAACTAATATTTATTCCATGGATTACTGTAAATAGAGCATAGAGCAGTTCTTTGCTGAGAAAGAGAAAATGTTTTGCAAGGATGGCATTAAGAAGTTACCTGGAAAATGGCAACACAAATCAATATTCTGTCTTATAGCATCAAAATCTAGTCAAGCTGAAAGTGAAGCCTATATTAGGGCTCATTTGTGCCCATTAAACAATGCAAAAATAAGAAGCTTTAAAATATGAGCATTTTTTCCCATATTTTCTTGTGCATAATATGAGAAATTTTGAATAAAGATTCAAGGCAACAAAAGGAGGGGGGTTGTATTATACACAAGTATACTCATGTTATTTGAAACAGCAGATTGCACAAAATATTTGAAAATAAGTTTTCAAACAAAAATTATGAAAAGAAACATAGAACAGGTAAAAATTCAGTTCATTTCTATTTTTTAATATCATGAAAAATTAAATATTTTAGTGAAATATATGTATGACACTGAGATTTTAATGGATAATATGGTATAAATTTAAAAAAAAAAATTACATCAGGATGGCTGTACTAAAGGGTCATCCTTGAGGATGTAATTTACATCCTTGAGGATGTAATTTATTCCATATTTTTAGCTTTAGAAATAATGGGTTATACTCAAGTGTATATATATATATATATATATATATATATATATATATCCCCCCACTCTCTTTTCTCTTCACAACAAAGCAGAACATCAAGTGAAAAATTAAGATAATTTATATATAAGATTCTGTGACTTCCAATAGTCTGTCCATCCATCACAACCTCTAAAATAGCCATACATTGACTGATCAAAACTAAATTTTGGGGAGAAGTGCAAACAGGTAAGGAGGTACAAAGTACTGTTGGTTTTACTAGGGTGTGTAGCTTAATACAATAAATTTTCATTAATTTTTTGGGAAAAATGAAAAGTTTTATTAACATACAAAATACTCCAAATATTTTAAAAACAATGATTAAAATAACAAATACTTATTTAATAAAAATGCAATATTGTTTTGTGCATATCTTTTCTTAAGTTTTTATATATATTTAATTCTGGTAAAATATAATGCACACTAGTAGCGCTACAAATATAAACACAGTAGAGAAAATAGAATTTGTAAATCTTAACAAAAATGTTAGTGATAACTTCAACAATACTAAATACTGTGATGATTTCAACACTTGTCTGTGTGCTGCAAAAAATTCCAGTACAATAAATTATTGTTAGGTGCCAGTAATTTAGAACATTTTGACAGTAAAATTGAGTTTAGGTAAGCATCTCAGAACATATGAGCACATGTGGAGTAGTTTCATTAGCTGATGCAGTATGGTATAACTGTTCAAATCAATGTCATATTGACCCTGTCCTTTTTTTACCCGCCATGATCAAGGCAAAGGGTTGCTTTCTACAGAAACAGATCAGGTTGTTGGTAGAGCACATATATGTAAAACTCAAAACTTGCAAAGAAACCAGGGCACATCACTGATAATTTACTTTATTGCAACAGAATAATGTATTTTTCATTTCAAACATAGCAAATAATACAGATTTTTTAAAAAATAAAATAAAATGTTCTCACCGAAACAAAGATGTCTGATAACTTGGAAGATCAACAACCATTTCAGACTGGAAGCTGTCCATAGATCTTTGGTCAACAGAAAGACGTCGAGCCACTGCTGAAAGGTCTTCATGAGACATATCTGGCATGGTGGCTGAGAAGGAACCATTTTGATTTTGTGAGAAATGCCTGAAAAAGAATAAAAAGATACAATAATATTTGATAGATTCTTTTTTTTTTTTTTAATTGAAGTATGTCTTAGAATCATCATTATTCTTTTCTTTCTAAACTTATTTTATCAGTTTTCTTTTATTTCACTGACAGGACATTTAATCAAACATGGATTAGAAGTGAATAGACATATGTAGATAGAGAAATAGAACGACAGTATCAATGGTGGAGAGAATTTTTTTTTTAAGAGTGAATTTTTCAACAAAATCGTTTTTTTTTTAAAGTGTTTATCATTAAAATAAAGCCATTCTAGTGATAGAATTATAAACCAATGAGTTGAAGTAGCTAATATTGCTTAGAAGATGCTTTAATATCCATTTCATATGGCTTCAAAATTCCCCTGTAATTGGTCAAGTTTCAAAATTTTCTAGGGGGCTTGCAGTGCCTGAACTTACAGCTGTATGGGCTCATTGAACTTGCCATAGCCTACATTTTGGCAGTTGGATCCTCAAATCTGTTGATGCTGGTTGTGAAGGGACCCTCATATCCATTCAAACTTCAATGCCCCAAAAATGTATGATGAAAAATAGCATTTATATTTTTAAATATTTACTTTTTAACAGATCATTTTGTGTAAATGTTTAATTTAGTGAAGAATATTAATCTCAAATCTCAAGCATTATACAGTGAAACTTTCAAATCAAAGTTCTGCTAATAAGTACCATATATTTCCGTGTATAAGACAACCTTTAAATCCCAAAAATCACCCTTAAAAAATTGGGGTTTGTCTTGTACTACAATTTTAAAAAAGAAGCCTTAAATTTTGAGTGATGTCTGTTGGTAGGCTAAACTTGGCCTCAGTGCACTAACTATAACATTATCAAATAAACTGATAATAAAAGTAATAAAACTATTTCTACCTTATGTATTACTGGCATAACTTCATAATAAATTGGCTATTCAAAGAATAATTCCATATCAATGAAATCAGCTTGTAACCATGCAAGCTCAGCTGAGAAAATGTAAACATCAAGTTACACATTCACAGCTACCTTTATCTTTTACTAAACTTTCAACAATCATCATGGTAGTGTTAATTATGATAGTAATAACATTTAGGATAACATAATATTCATTCAGAAGTTATGAACAGACTGAATAAAGAAAATGTTGAAAGTAGATCGTACATTATCATTTTGGCTTCAGACAATATTGTCCTTAACATATATTATTCATAAAAGACATTAAAAACTTTTCTAATTAAATAATGTCTTAGTTTTAATGGGTTTTGTATTTTTCAATTCAGAGCTGAATTTTGGGTAGCTTTTTTTTTTTTTTTAAAAAAAAAAAAAAAAAAAAAAAATCAATGTTTTATATTCTTCAAAGTCTTCATGGCATCAAATTTCTCAAGTTTCATAAAATTAAGTAGGGGGATGATAGATATAAAATTTTTTTTTTTACCATGACTTTCTAAAAAAAAAAAAAAAAAATACAAATTTCATTTATTTGTGAATAAGTTCTGAAAGTTTCATTAAATCTGATAATTATTTGATTTTGGCAAGAATTTGCAAATCAAGTTTTTGGTTGCTGAAGGGGAAAAGTGTGCAACAGTGCTGGGAGACTACGTTTAAAAAAAAAAAAAAAAAAAAAAAAAAAAAAAAAAAAAAAAAGAAAAGAAAAAGTAAGCTTCTATCTGAATTAGAAGTCCTTATACCGAAAAATTCACCATATTTATTGAATGACCCTCGTTCTACAGGATAAATTCATGAAACTTTGCTATATTTTTGACTTCATCTTATCTAAAGGTCACGTTATACATGGAAATATACGATATGAGTAATTTATTGGTCCATCCTTACATAACAGATGTAGAGAAAAAAAGGAGCAGGCTTATCTTAAACATTGGAGACAAAAATACTAACCTTTTAGTTGCAGGTAAAAATAGAGTATTTTTTTAATCTATTGAGGAAGATAACTAAAAAAAGTAAAAATTCTCAAGATTTTAACATAAGTTTATATTTAAAACATCATGAAAAACAATCCGAGAATTTAAAGCATTACATTTTAAGTGACAGTGATATTCTAAAGTGTAATCTAAAAGATAAAATCCATTTGCTCAGAAATGCACATAAGTTCTTAATTGAAGAGATTAATAGTGTAACAGATTCAGCAATATAGGTAAAAATAAGTTTTAAATATCAAATTTAAGGAACATGTCAGTTAAGACACAGTTGAATGAAAGGCAATATATATAAACTTTGACAGAATGGAACCTGGCCATGGCTTACAATGTGCACAAAGTAAAGTGAACTGTGAATCATTTTATCCAAGACTGAAAAGTCTGGTGTTTTATGACCAGCAGTAAAGCCTAAGAGTGGGATCTTCAAAGCAACCACCTGCTGTCCATAAGGAGTAAAAAGGAAATAGAGCAAATAAATAAATTAAAATTTTGGGGATCAAGTACTGCTTGGCCAGAAGGTAGGAAGTTCCAGTCTTAAGCAGAATCACAGAATTGCTAACATTTGAGCTACTCACGGGTAGGTTGCAGGCAGTCAATGGAAATGTAGAGAGGTAAAGTCAGTCAGTTCCTAGCTGTACATTATGATATAAAAATAGTTGGCAAGAGCATGTTGACAGAGTGAAGGAAGAGAGACCGTTAATGCAAAAGAGAGTTAAGAATCCTTGCTGGTTAAAGAGAAGATCTGATCCATTAGTCTGTCATGAGAAAAGACAGAGGTTGCTACAAAGATAACCCACATGTCACCTGCCCGCTGCCTACAGACTATGTTAGGTTAAGTTGTGAATAAATGACAAAACATATCGTAGCATTATTTCATCTTTTGCTCCCTTGTAAATGTACACCAGGCTATCCTAGTTTTTTTGCACATTGATGCAAACTGGAATCAAAACAATGTAGGGTGATTTGTCCAGTCAGTAAAGATTGTGTTATATTCTGTGCTAATAGGAATATATTCTTGAAAAATATGGTGGATAGAATAAGTAAAGGTTTATTGTAAAAACCAGTACAATAAGAATAATGGTAATAGTTATGCACAAGGTTGTAGTAAGTCAATCCAGTAGTGAGTGCTACTATTGAAAGGTTGGTAGTTCTCGTATGTCTGAGTCATACTCAACAGATCCCAGCTAGACTCCTGTAGTCTGTAGCCATAAGGTAGTTACTACCTATAGTGTAGTCACTCATGGAGGTGACAGGTTATTCCATTACATCAGATTGAGAGAGGGTCCTTGTTGTATGTTTACAAAACTAGTCATCTGGTTTAAGTACAGATCCTGATTTAATCATAGAATGCACATATAAAAGTAAATGTCTACAGGGCAACATTAATATTCAGGGAGCTTTCACAGAGCATTCTTTTTGTATCTGCCTCTTGAGCATACAACATTTTAAGGCACTTAGAGTCAACTTCCACAACCACATTGCTGGAAGTAGTTAAACAAAATGAGATAAAGAAGGCTTCTACCTTGTTTGAGAGATTACAGAATAAACTTAATCCCTTGTTCAACACTTCTTTTTCATCATTCTGCATTATTATCATAATCATCAGTCCCATGAACAGGTGTTGTCATTTTTTTTTTTACAGTGATGTTCACCCTGTACAAGCCCTAAGAGCCACTCTAGGTAGAGGATTACTGAGTAAAAGGCACAGTTTATGGAGCTGCATGAGGTAGATAACAATTAATCCTAGACTTGAACAGGTTCAAATTGTAGTGATGGGCAAGCATCCTCTTGGGAGTTGGTTCCACAATGCAGCAGGTCATGGGAAGAGGCTTTTCAAGTGGAACTTAATCTCACCAATGGATAGGGTCACTGTGCAGTTGAACACCTAACCAGTTCCCTCCACATATCTAGGTTGAAAGCTGGAGAATTATTCATTCAGGTGTAGCATTTATTGGGCAAGTAGACCTGACAGAGCCCATCCCTCCCTGGATTAAACCCCAGCTGATATCTTCAAACTTAAAGGCTCATCTTGGCCTTGAACACATGACTTGATTCTATTGAGTGAACCCTCCACTTTGGTAGACTGAAGCCCTCTGTTCAGCAATGTTATATCATCACTATAATGGCTGCATACATAGCTATGGAGCTTAGTCTTCCCCACTGTGCTATATGGCTGTTGATTCTACAAGAAGATTCATCCACTCTTTGACAGGTCTTGTTTTTAATACTGCTGGATGTTTAGCCACTCTCCTCACCAGAAAAACCTGATGGGGGAACTGCTTTAGTTGCCAATGACCCAACCATGCAGCAGGTAGTACTGAGTTACATGGTACCTATAGCACTCACAGAGGAACCTGGGGTTCAGATAAAACAAGATCTTTCATCTTTTACCAAAGGAAATTCAGTTGTATTTTCTACATCCTATCATGAGACTTGAAGATGAAACATTATAATAGTTACCATGGTCGGGATTCTGTACTGTTTGTTAATGGAAATATTTTTTTTTGTGATGAATCGATAACTGGAGAATGTTGATCTGATTGAGAAGGTAGAAACTTCACAGGAGATGTTTGTAAGCTAACTGTAACAGTTGCAACTTTTTCAACAGGGCTTGGTGTCCTTGCTGGATACTGGAATGAAGTATTCACAGCAACAGTAGACTGTTTATCGCTAAAATATATAAAAAAAACAAATCAAACAAAAATATAAATACATCTTGAACGAAAACAAAGAAATTACAATATATAAAAACTTTCGCTTTTTATAGCATTTTTACATGGCTGTGCTGGCTTATTTCAGAAAAATATGTCATTTTGATTTTGGCTAGATCCTCTGCAAACAATTGCATTGGAATCGTAATCACAATCCATTTCATCAGACCTACAAATTCAAATATATATATATATATATATATATATATATACACACAAACAAACAATATAATAATAAAATATATCACAAAACAGGTCATATTGTAAACTACTATATTTATGCTGGTTTGAAAACAGCAGTAAGTGCTAGCTAGTTTATAACACAAATGCTAGGAATCACAATTTTAGAGTTTTTTGTTTTTTTTAATCATTTCAACCCAAGTAAGCCAATAAAGCCACTAAGATGTAAGCAGTTACTGAGTGTTTAAGAATATGGAAAAAACTATTAAGGAGAGAGAACAATAAAAGAACAGGAATTAAGACAAAAAATAACAATTGACATTGCATTTAAATTTTTGAAGATGAAAGTTGACTAGGAAGCAAAAATCTGGAAGAGAATTCCACAAATGATAAGTGCAATACAAGAAATTGTTAGCATAGAATTTACAGTTACATCTAGCCATTTCAGTTGTAAAATGATGAGACCTTGTTGCCAATCTAGTACTGCACTTAAATTCATAAAGTCTAGGTACCATCAAGGAAAGTTCATCAAAACAATTACCTTGAAAGTATTTACAGAAAAGGCTACAATATGGCAATGGGAAAGTGACTGAAACCAAGATGCCTTGATAATTTATATATACATTAACAACAGGCAAATGTAAGTTTTGTAAAGATGTACAAGTACATCAACAATAGCGGTAATGTTAAGTGCAAATTACAAAGTCTTCTCTTAATTTGTTTAAATTGTTATAAGAAAAAACATCCTTGTGATTATCACAAATAGAAGTTCAGTAGGTGATAAATCAATTTAGAACCCCTTAAGATTTCAGTATTGCAATCTATACTTGATTTTTTTCTTTTAATTTAACATGGAGGCACTCTAAAAATACATTAATCCAGTAATTCTTAAACTTTTTCAAATCATATCACCTTTAGTGTATGAAGAGTTCTTCAACAGTGCTTTAAGTCAGAAAATACTGAACAACTGCATTTATGCTCATGGGGATTTAAAAAAAAAAGAAGAAATAATGGTCAAGAAAAACATTTTTCTTGTCTCTTTTGAATTGCTTTGACTGACTCATTGTTTCTTCTAGAAAGGAAAAGTTTCTATAAAAGGAATTGGGTAATTAATTTTAATTTACAATGAAAGGTATTTACATCATAAATTGAACATCAATTGTCAAAAAATAAGGGTCCAGCTTTAAATTATACATACATTGGAACATTTAGAGCCCTTGTTTTCCATATAAAATTTGTATTTGAATATTCAAATTTTTAGTTATCTTGTAGTGTGCTTCTTAACTTGCTGTGGTGTCCCAAGGTGCAGTGGTGCACACTTTGGGAACCTCTGCAATAATTTAAGCTAATCACTTTTTTGAAAGTACCTCAGAGGTACAATGGGTAACCTATTTGACAATTTTGTCCAAATTGAGGAAAGTACCTCAAGGATAAAGTGTAATCATAAAAGAGCAAGTACTGATAAGAGCAATAAAATACAGGAGGTTGGAGTGCCATTATCAATCATAGTACAGAGGAGGAGAGAGAGAGAGAGATATATAGTTATAGAGTTACATGGATGTTATTATAGATAAAAAGTATCTTAAGCATTAATTAAACCAAATAATTTAATGAAATCTCAGTAGTCACTATAAGTGTATATTATGATAGGAAATGTACTTGAGTATAGTGAGAGTTATGAACCATTTATGTATTAAAAAAAAAAAAAATACTACTAATAATAATAAGGGGGGGCACACTATATACAGGTAATTTTTTTAAAGAGATTAAAAATCATACATTTTTGGTGACCAGTTGCATTATATACAGGTAAATTTTTTTCTGGAAATGTTAAAAATCACACAAAATAATTTAAGGGTTGCACTATACATAAAGTTGGTTTATATATGGTATATATTAAGATACGAAGTGCATGTGTGTGTGTGTGTATATATATATACACACACACACATAATATAAGGTCGTGAGACCAGAAACACATGTAGCAGAATTATGGAAAATAAAGCATAATATATTTTTAAAAATTCACATTACAACCAAAAACGTTTGTAGTTTATCTCTTTTTTTTATTATACACTTTTCTCCCATTGGAACTACTATAACCTCTTCCCCTATATATATATATATATATATATATATATATATATATATATATATATATATATATATATATATATATATATATATATATATATATATAACAAATTTAATGCCAAATCTACTTCCAAGACGTTCCTCTTATACAGTTAATAATATACCTCTTCAAAGATTGTCCTGTATCATCACAAAGGCTGGTTCCAACACCTGTGGAGATGGTACTTTGGCTGCTAGGGTCACTCACAGATTTGCATGTCTGAGACAATTTCAGCTGTTGCACCTGGGCTTTCAGATCACGCAGCTGTGCACTCTGCTGCATGAGAAGATTGTAGATTTCAATTGGAACATTATCCCACTGGATTTTGGATAACTGAACTTCACTATCCTGGCCAGAATCAGGACTATCACTCAGGCCACTGTCCCTACTAGCACGACAACTGTTTATATCTTCAGGTGACCCTTCTGAAGGCCTTTTATCAATACTGTCCCCTAAGTTAGTCTTATATATGTTTGATGCTGGGGAATTTTCTGGGCTGTATTTAGGTGTTGATTCATTGGTTAAGCAAGGTTTATTTGCCAGTGCATGAGAAGTTGCACAATAAGGAGGCCTGTAGTAGTAAGCATTGTCAATTTGAGGTCTTGCTGAATTGTTTTGATTAGCCAAATTCTGATTTTGACTCTGCATAGGGTAACTGTTTGCTTGAGGTTGGAAGTTTGCATGTGGATGGATTATGGGGCCTGGATAAGGAGGGCTAATAATAGAGCCAACAGGGTTACTTTGATTTGAACAATAAGGAAATCTAGGTACATCAGGACGCACAGGATGCCTTGGGGGCACTGGCATTACTGGCTGAGGAACCACATGGGATTTAACAATAGGGTATCCTTCACAAGGGACTGGTACTAAATGTGCAGAGTTGAATGGAGGATTCTGATGCTGAAGTGATGTGTTTTTATTATTGAAGTGTGTCTGTGTAGTGATTTGCGATGGAACAGAATAAGTTGCTGGAGGGTAATGAGAATATCGAGGATAGGGCCCTGAAATTGGAGGTGTATGATGATGTAGATACATGTTAGAAGGAGATTGTAAATTATTATGAGGTGGGTAAGGTGCTTGGGGTAAGTGACATCTAGTTTGAATATATTCAGGGTTGCTCACTGCCAAAGGTGGGTGTGGTGTTGGTTGACTGTTGTAACCCTTAAGTTGGAGATTTTGACTGGTTGGATATCCAAGAGGCAGAGATTTGTTACCCTGCTGCAATTGCTGGTGGGTTGTTGATGGTGTGGTGGAAACTACTGCACTGTTTTCCATTCGAGTATATGAACTACAATTAGCAGGAGTAAGTAAAGTGGGCGGATGCTGGAAGTTGCTGGTTGTCAGGGTTGGACAGGAGACAGTCATAGATCCAGTTTGGTTGGGATGGTTTCCACTATCACTGAAAATTATAGACACTTCTGGAACATCAAATTTGGCTTCAGGAATCTAGTATTAAAAAAAAATAGAAAAATCTTTTATACATAAACAAAAATTCATGATTTTCCATCTTCACAAAAATATGTTTTAAGTTACTGAGATAATATTTTAGCATTTTAAATGTTAAATATGGAAATTGTTTTGAAACTGACATTTTATATATATATATATATATATATATATATGTATATGTGTGTGTGTGTGAGACACTATTTAGCTATGGTAATTGACTAACTAATTAACCATAGAAATTAAAACAGAAAATACTTAAGGCGAAAAAGAGCTATCTCGAAAGATACACCGGTCGATGTTTAAAAAAAGATTTTATTTTATTTACGAAAAAGATACTTTTCACAAAAGACAGTAAACCCATGGAAAACACCATATGTGAGGTTTTGTCAGGTTGATTAATGTCTTGCCGAGGGAGATAGGAAGAAAGGCAAATATTAAGATATCAGTCAGACCATGGCAGTCATAAAAATTTTGGCTTGAGACGATACAGGCAGGGAGAATCAATTTTAATTATCTTTCCAAGATATTGTTTATTTTTTTTTCTTGGCCACCAGCAAGGAAAGCAGTGTGGCAATGATAAAATTTTGGCATTGTCTTGACATAGGTGAGAGGATTGTTATTATTTACCTTATCAACATGTTGCTTCAGACGCTGGAACGCTGAATAGTAATATGGCGTTTGTAAAATTTTGGCACGAGACAGAAAAAAGAGTGGAGAATTGAGATTTGGTGAGATAAAAGAATTTAATTTCTCAACAAGCCAAGGATTCCATTATAAAGCTAACTTCACGAAGGGACCAGATGGCAAACTTTGACAGTGATTGATGCAGTTGGTAGAGAGTGCTGGCTAAGTGAATTCTGGGTGGCCAAAAGATATGATAGAAATTTAATTGGCAATATGGAATTTGTAAAAATTTTGGCTGATGGGAAAAAGGGGAATTTTTGTAAACAAAAATTCTAGATTATAATTTTAAGGATGCCAGCTTAGTCACACCCGCATGGCCGGGATGCCATTGGTTGAGTGGTAGCAATGGTGATAGGCGAAGGTCAATGGATGAGAAAGATGGAGAAGTTATTAATGCCCACTGAAGGGATTGGTATGAGATATCAACGTGAGAGAGAAAGAGTCTAGGAGGATAGCTCTCCTCTGACCTTCCCTCATGGACAACAAAGACTCCGCCGAAATGGAAAGTGATTAATTTTCCAAAAATGGGAAGTAATCAAATTTCCTGGCCTGACAACAAAGAGATTTCTTGTTAGAAATCGAGATTCACCAAGAATCCTGGGCTGCATCTGGCCCCACACCGGGTTTTGGTCGGTACCCATATAAACAAACGTCCTCGGGTCGTTCAGAGAGTTCTGAGTTGCAGTCGTAGTTGAGCTGGTTTTGGAGTTAGATTCTGAGCTTAACCAGAGTGTTGCCTTGCAGAAGCTGACCAAGATATTCCACGACCTCTGACTTCGCCTATCCTACCAATAGCAAGTCATACTGACTAACGAAAACAAGACCTAAGAACTAAATCAGTTGACTTAAGATACCAAAACTTGTTTAAGAAACGTAAAAGTGTCACAAATCCGTAAAAAACGGGCTGGGAGAAAAACACACTCCTGTATATAACAGACAGATAAAGTTAATTTGTTATTTCTTTACATACTTGAACCTCTTGGGTTTTGTTTTATTTGCTTCTTTTCCTTTATGCTTGTGTGAGATCACCTACAGTCTGGACTCAACTTACACTACTGCCCAACGCCAGATTGATTTTGTCTACCTAAGATCAAAATCACAACGTGGGTAGGTTAGACTTGAGATCAAAGCAGTTACTTCAGTAACCAGACGTTGGAAGTGAGATGGGAATGATGGAGCTGGTATCGAACCAGGAACGACCACAGATCGACTGGGACACAGACTGGTGGCAGTGACTAAGAGTCAACCCCAAAACGCCGGTGGAAGAAACCTTACAGCTTCGCGCCATGACTGGGAGTTGACCATGGGCTGACAGCTCAGTGTCACATATACACACTACTATATATATATGATTCTGTAGAAAATGTTTTCTTACACAATAACCATTTACACAGTCGTGGAACATGAGGTGGGGGTAGGTGCCATGGGGCATGTCATGGGTTGCAAAATTGATCCAATCTAAGCAAACTTATTTAGATGTGAAAAATTAAGGCGAAAATGTTGGAAAATTAATTAAGAGAAGTAAAAGATGACTAAAAATTTCCTCCTTTTTTATTTATTTTAATATCCTTTTTTGGGACTGCCTGCAGATATTTATTTCATTAATGGTGTGTCCAGGTCATGAATTATTTTGGTGATGACACTCAGTAGTTCTTTGACTATGTGCAGTGCGGACGGAAGCAAATGTGAAATGTCTTAAAGAAATAACAAAAAGTGTTGTTTAATTCTGTTTACCCTCAGTTGAGGCCAGATTAAAAACTAATCCATATTAGTGTTTTAAGATGTATTCCTGGGATGGTAAACCCAGCATTTCTTTGTAAAATGATAATAATAATAATTCTTCCCCCAATAAACTTACCCGCCGAATTGTCTTCTCGCTGTGCAGGAAGTTGACTAGTCATTTTCCTGTATGCGGTTGGTTATGTGTCACCACGGCATTTGTGAAGCGGAGGGCAAACACTGTTACCACTGGATGGGATGATGAAGTGCAGGACCCTTTTCTAGCCCAGATGATCAACAACATTTTTAAGAGACTAGCCCAGGACGATCCAGTGAAAGGTGACTGGTGCATCAGTAAGCAAAATGTAACCGTGTGGGTAGATGCAAGCTCCTTAGCCACCGGTGTGGTTGTGGAGAGCAATGGCGCCATGGCAAAAGACGCAAGCTGGCTCCAACCGGGGTGCACGAAGACAAGCACATCAACTTGGCTGAGCTCGATGCTGTGTTGTGAAGTGTCAACCTTGCATTACAATGGAAGGCCAAAACCATTCATTTACAGACAGACTCAGCATGTGTGCATCGCTGGGTAGCTGACACTGTCTGGACGGATGAGAGTGCGCACCAAGGCAGTCTCCGATATGCTAATCAGACGTCGGCTAGCCACACTCCAAGAGTTGGCCTTAGAATACAAGCTGGACATTGATGTAGAGCTTGTTAAGTCGTGCAACAATCGAGCTGACCAACTTACTAGAGTACCGCAGCGATGGTTAAATGAAATGCGCAAAATAATGGAACCCAGAGAACCTATGTGCGCTGTGGCTGAAGAGCAAGATGTTGCTCAAGTATGAGCCATTCATCAATCCAGCGGACATCCTGGTGTGAAGAGAACACTATTTTGTTAAGTTGATCGACCCAAGAGTAACAAAAGCTGAGGTGCGAGCGGTGGTTAGGGGAAGCAAGGAATGCCAGTCAATTGACCCGGCCCCTGTGCATTGGAAACCGGGCAGGTTTGATGTCGCGGAAAATTGACACAGGGTTGCGATGGATGTAACCCATTTCAGACATCAACTATACCCGACGCTGATAGACTGCGGCCCCAGTCGTTTTGCCATTTGGAAGCCCTTGCACTGCCAAGACTCTGCTAGCATCATCGAGAAGCTGGAAGTAGTGTTTTGCGAAAGAGGGCCGCCGGTTGAGCTGCTTACGGATAATGGTGCAGCGTTTTGTGGAGAGAGGTTTGCCGCGTTTGCAAAGCTGTGGAATGTACAAATACGATTTCGCTGTGCCCACGTACCATCGGATAGTTGAGAGATCTCATTGTACAATAAAGCTCATCGCAACGAGAACATGGTGTTCAGTTTTGGAAGCTGTATATTGACACAATGTTACCCCAAAGGACAATAAAACAGCTTCAACCGCACAGGCGAATACAACCTACACTTACAGGGTCCGCATTAAGGGTATCGATGCAGCTTTGGTGCGTGACGACACAGTTGCCAATCCTTATACGGTAGGAGAGACTGTCTGGGTAAAAAATACGCACGGAAGGTGTAAGACATAGTTCAACAAGTTACGGTGACACAAATTAATAGCCCACACTCCGACTCTGTTGATGGAATACCACGCCACATAAAAGATGTGCGTCCAGCGTGCGGGAAGGATTATTCCGTCAGCAACCATGTTAGTTCTTCTTCTGATGATGATGAAGTCCTAATGGTATATATAAAATCACTGGAAGAGCACACCTCAGAGAGTAGCGCGCCTGATGAACCTATGCGGGATGAGCTCAGCGAGACGTCTGAAGAGAGCACCAATGAGGAAGTGTTTGAGACAATACCACCGAGACGAAGCACCAGGTAGAAACGGCCTGCCTCACATTGCCATTTGTGTGATCTAGAGATCAGGGAGGAGTGTAACAAGCATGCACGGAAATGTCCTTGAACTGAGTGTGTGTGTGTTATCGCCTGGCACACCTTGGAGTACCATAATGGACTCGACTGAGGACTACAAGAAGAAGACGCGCAAGTCGTTTGGCGTCTTTTCTTGGGCGACAAAAGCCGTTGCGGTCGGTCGTCCGTCGGCAACAGTCTTGGGTGCCGTTTTGCTCGTTTGCTGTCGTGAAGGCGTTCGTTTTTGTGTTGCAAGAAGTCCCCACCCACGTTTTCTCGCACAAAACAGAAATTATACTGATTGGAATTTAATCTTTTTTCTTCTAAAATAGCTGATTAGTGCCCTTTTTCAGTCATTTTTCATCACAATGTAATTCTCCCAAAAATTCTTCCAAAAATAAAATATACTTTTCTGAAACTTTATTTGAGGAATATTAGCTGATGTAAAGTATAATTAATCTGATTTAAAAAAATATTATTTACTTTAAGTTTTAAATAACACAGAAATACCTTTCTAGAACAAAGTGTAGTTGTGTTAACCAACATCGCCATGTTTTACATAATTGACATGGTGATGAAACATTGACTGTTATTCTACAGAGACTATCTATAAAACATAATTTAAGAAAATGATGTGAGAGCCATTTTTATATAATTTTTAAGTACTCCGTAATCTTAAAAATGTTGGAAAATATTCTGTAATCTAATTTTACAAATGCTGATATTAAATAGTTATGTTCAATAAGTTTCCAAAAAACAGCATAGCATGATGAAAAAGTTTTAACATAAAAATGTTTATGCTATTATTAAAAGGAAAGACCAAAGTATTTTTTTTAAATTATTTTTTAATGTTTTCTCGCACATTCAAAATTTTGGTTGAGAATCTTTTTTTTGTTTTGTTTTTTATGTCAAGTCATGTAATATTTAGCATTAGTATTTTTAGCACTTTTTCAGTTGAAAAACACATTAAGGACATTATTGTCTGAAGCCCAAATATTTTTCCAATGAAAAATGAATTTTTACAAGAATTGTTTTTTTTTTAATTTTAAATACAAAGTGTGAAAAAGTTGTTAAATATTTTAAAATTAAGTTTGAATATGTGTCTTTTTGGAAATGCTCTTATTAAAAAGATTGGTTAAATTTGTAATCTTATTACAATCTGCATTGTTTATCAAGTTTGGGGCTTTTTTTTCATCAGGGTATTAATTTTTTTAATATGCCAAAAAATGTATTAAAAACGCTTCTGGTAAAACTACAGAGGCACAATTCAGAAATAATGTCACGTGTTTTAAGAGTTGTTTCTCTTGATAGCAAAGCTCTGGCCTCATAAATTGCATTGCTTTCATTCTGGCTAGCATGTGTCAAATTCTCTGACTGACCGACCATCATCGTCACATTTTCAAAATTTTTTATTTTATTTTATTTTTTTAAATTCATTTTTTTAGATATTTCACTCAATATTTTCTTTTCATTTTTTTTAAATATAATCAATTTTTTTCTTTTTCAGTAAGAGACATTCTACAATTATCAATTTTTTTAGATTCAGTTTTAGGGACAGAAACAGTGCAGGCTTTGGACATATCCTTGTTAAAAAAAGTACCAATCAATAAAATAATAGACTTTTAAAAGTATTTAATTTTTAAGAATTACCTTATAGTTAAATAAGCTGGTTCACTTAAAATTCGAAAATACCGTCACTTCTGTCCTTCCATCCAATAAATTGCCCTGACGTTAGTTGTCAATACATTGACGTAAATGTCAGTCACCACGGTTAGATATGCTTCTCTCATATCCAATTAAATTTTTTCTGCTAAAAAATTATGTAATGTTTGTTTCAAATTACATTAAGTAAACTTTAAATTTTCTAATTTTACTAAAATAACTTTTCAAAAGGTATAATTGAATTTTACAGAGAATTTCACTTTTGTTTACAAAGTTGTCAAAAATGGGTGAAATGATCGATTTTATGTCAATTTTGCTAACTCAAAAAAAAAAAAAAAGAAAAAAAAAAGAAATAATCAAAAAATATTTGGTCTTTCCTCTTAATAATAAAGATTTAGACAATAAGAAATTGTTTATCAAGTTTGGGGCTATTTTTTTTTCATCAGGGTATGCTCTTTTTTAGCAAATTATTGAACATCCCTAATTTTAAATTTTCTATAGTCATCACTTTTATTTTCTGATAATATCATGTATGGTCAAATATACTTTCAAAAATGGGCACATTACATAATATTTTATATACATAAATTATTTTAAAAATCTTGGTGCAAAATGATTTGCATTAAGCTTTTCAATTTTTGATTAGTAAATATAGTTTTCATGTAATAAAAATATCACCTAAATGAGATTCAATTAAATTAATGTAGAATTTTAAAAGATTTTTTTTTAAATTATTAATAAATTATTATAATTAAAATTTACAAAATTGAAAACAATTCTTGTAAAAATTCATTATTCATTGAAAAAAAAAAATTATTCTGAAGACCATAGTGTCCTTAATAAATCTTATAAAAGCAATTAAATTTTTTCAGCGAAAAAGTGGAGGTACCTAAATAAAAGTCAAATAAGTTTTTTTAAATACATTTCATCATTTTTTCGTACTTACTAAAAAAGCTAGATACAAGTTATTATTAGGCTGCAAACTTTAAAAATATCATTCCTTATTTTTTCAAAGAAGCATTTTCTATCCTAAGACACGTCAAAAGGCACATTTTCTATTCTATCATCCTTCTTGGCTACATTTTCTTTAAGTCAAATTTGATTCTCAATCTTGTCACTTTTGGTAACAATTTAGACAAACAGTTTACACACAGATAAACATTGACAAGGGACACGGTAAAGTATCATTTTTCTCATCCACCCCACTGACTAGAGATCAAAGGGACTTTTTGCTTTTGAAACTGACAGAGATGTCTACTTGTCTCTGACAGCTTTTATCTTTCCTTTTCCTCTTTTCTTGTTGAGTGAGGATAGAAGCTAGAAGACATGCCTTCATATTCTTTCACCTTTTTTGGTCTCATCACCTAGATGAGAAAATACAGAAGTAACAAGGTCATGAATTTGTTCTAATCAAGGAAACAAACCACTGTTCACAATAATTGCCAAATATTACTGACGATGAAAATTATTTTTCTTAAAGGACAATTTTACCTTGTAAAAAAGACATATTTCTGGGATTTGGCATTTTGACTTTTGAGAATTGAGAATAGGGATGTATGGGCAGTCCAATTTAGAAAATTCCAGGACTTTTCAAGCCCTGGAAAAAAGCCCTGTCAATTTTCTAGGGCTTTTCCAAGTTTCCAGGACCTGTACAAACCCTGCCAATAAATTCTTTATATGACAAGCAGAGAACTTTACAGCACCTCCTTGTATATAAAACTATTCAGATATTCTTTCTAGTTAATTCTACTGACTTCAAAAAGAAATGTTTTAGTTGAAACAAAAATAAGCTGAAATAATGCATTCATTTAAACTGTAAAATAAAATTTATATTATTTATAGTAGGGAAAAAAAAAAATTTCAATCTGTTTCAGACTTTCTAACAAAAAATAGTAATCTTAAAATTTATACTAAAAGAAAGTACCATCTCAATAATTCTATTATGTAACAAATAAAATTATTGAGTTTCAGAGAGATTGAGAGCACTTTAATTACAAAGACTGCTTGTCTTAATTCTTAACTTCCAAAAATACCCTGGTTGGCTTTGATTTTATTATATAAATTTTTTTAGTAGCAGAGAAAGATGCAGTAATGTTCACCTTTGATTGATGAGGGGTAGGGATACTGCGTGGCATCATCTCATCAGAACTGGAAACAGGTTCAACTTTACTCCTGAAAATAGATAATACTTTTACATATAAATTAAATACCAGCACATGAATATGGACAGAAAGTGAAATTAAACATCTTATAAACAGTATAGTTTGTCTTAAAATAAGTTTTATAACAAGCAAAATTACATAAGGTTTATCTTCATATGAGGTTGAAGCAAAAGTTTCCAGGATTTTGGAAAAATATTTATTATAAATTCTTGATATCATTATTGAAAGTGTTTCCTGGAATTTTAGGTAAACTTTATCCTACCATAAATGAATCATTCCAGGCTTTATTCAATTACTGTATATACTCGTATATCGTGCAACTTTTGAAGACCTAATTTTGAAGCTAATTTTAAGGTGGTTGCATCATGCACAAGATATAAAATGAGTGGTACCCAGAAAATTCGGTAATCTTGACAAGGTAGGAAAAAATTCAGTAACTCTGAAATAACTTTTGAAATAGAAATGAGGCTATATAGTTTTTGCTTCTTTAAAAGAAATAACTATCTAAAATTTAATTTACTACATTTTTATCAAAATAATAATTTGAAAAATATCTTCTTTTATGTGCTGTGTCCTTTCAGTACGTAGGCGATCATGGGTCTCCACAAGTTTTGTCTTTGTTATTTCTCCCAGACCCTGTTCTGCTATCCACTTGCTTAAACCTGTTAAGTATGTCACACATTGCTTTCCTTTGTCCATCTTTCCCACTATCCACCCTGTGATTATCAAATTTTCCAAGCCCTCCTTTCTCATCCAAGAAATTTTAGCTGCCTCTTCCTTATGTTAAGTATAAGTTTCCTCTTTGTTTGCATCTTTTCCAAAATCTCATGTTTGGCCCATGGTATCCTTAGCATCCTTCTGTAGAACCACATCTCTGTTGCCTCGTGTCTTCTTCACCCTTGAGGAGATCATCCAACATTCGCTGCTGTAAAGGAGAACAAATATCATAGAGCAGTTCAGTACTCTTTTCTTTGTTACCAACGAATAATACTCTACCTAGCTTTTGGAATGTGTCTTTGGCCATCCCAATACATCTTTGGAGCTCAGTATTGCACTTTCTGTCCTCTGTCAGAACACTTCCCAGATATTTAAATTTCCACACCCATAAATTGTATTTTGGGTTCATCTTATTGCTGATGACCAAGCATTCTGTCTTCTTATAGTTTATACTTAGTCCCTTCTTCTTGCTCTCCTTCACTAACTTCTGTAGGAGATTTTGTAGTTTCCTTTCTGTGTCTGCTATCAGCACTGTGTCATCTGTGTAACTTATGTTGTTAAGATCATGGCCGCCAATGATGAATCCCGGTAGGATTTCGAGTTCTCTCAGAATTGCCTCGTTGTATAGGTTGAATAAGTCCAGTGAGAAGACACATTATGCCCCTTTCTATTTTTGTATATCTGTTGAACTCATAACCTTAACTTGGATAAATCAATTTTATTTGCTTGAAAACAATAGGAGTATAGTAATTAAATACTTATTTAAAAATATTAGAGGTGGTGACCTTGGCTCCCTAAATCCACCATCCAGAAAGTATGGCCCTAGTATTGTTGGATTAGGCGTTTACCTGGACTGGAACCTATGATTTTTTTTTTTAGTTAATACCTTATTTAAACATATTTCTAGCCCCCTCCAGAAAGTATGGCCCTGGTATTGTTGTAGTGGGGCTTTATCTAGACCCTAATAGTTAATAATACTTTTTAAAAAATATTGAGGAAGGAAACCTAGCCCCCTAAGCCCACTTTCTACAAGTACGGCCCTGGTATTGTTGTAGTGGGGTTTTATCAGTTATTTAAAGAGATAGAGGAAAAGAGGGTAGTCTATTGTAATTTGGTCTCTCAAAAAAGGAATTTGCATGATACACGGGACATGATAAAATCATTTTTTATGTGAAAATTTGGAGGTTACACAATAAATCGCACATTACACAAGTATATACGGTAATTCAAGACATTTATTTTTGACTTCCTGACCAGGCAAGGAGTGTTGCATGGAGAAAAACAAGTAATATTCTGAAGGTGAGAGGCCTAGAGAATAAATATGTAAAGTAGAAGGACTACCCATTTCAGCTTCATAATCATTTACTGAATTTTCAGCTTAAGGATGGAATATTGTTGTAAAGTAAAACTATCAGTCAACTTCCTTGCCTACAAAAGACTCTTTTCTATTCCAATAGGTCATTCAAACAATTGTCCACTGTAGCATTAAGAGGTAACACTTTGAATCACATCAAATAAAGAACTTCTTTTTTTCTAAGAGATTTTATTAAAGTTGAGATATTTAAAGTTGTCATGAACTTAGATATGATTTTCTTATTTTTGGATTTTTGCAATAAATCCCATTTCATTGTTTAAAAAAGAATTTTCTGTGTTGAGAAAAAAAATGAAATACAAGCTTTTCAACACTGATGTTCATTTCTGTAAGTTCATAAAGAACCCATTTTTCCTAAGGCTTATAAATGAAATTGACATTATTTATACTAGACTACTGACTTCATCTTTGTTGTTGTTGATATTGGCTGTTGTGCCCTCCAGACTTCATCAGGTGCTGTTGATCTGGGTAAACGTCAGGGAATTATGAAATTAACCTTTATTTAATCTACAGGAGTAAATTGTTCTTGTTCTGTGGTCCATGTCTAGGGATATCTCATCTTGTTCTTATTTGGTACTGATCAATTATTGCTCACCCCGATGAAAGCTGGAAGGCACAATGCATTATGACAATAATAAAGATGAGGACAATAAAGAATGTAAAGAATGCTAATTCCTCATCCCAAGTTGATTAATTACACAGGAATAAAAAGAGTTGGGTAAATGTCAAAGACACTTCTAAGATTTTCCTAATATTATACAAAAAGATGCTGAGAACCTTTGCCTAATAAATTGTCAAGTAATGTTGATAAGTTAATAAAAATTCCTACCCTGGTGCTTTTACCATTCGACTTGCAACAGCATCTATTTTGTCTTTCTTGATGCCATATTTCAAAAGGTTGAGTTCTACTGTGAGTAAATCCTGTGTGTAGCCCTAGAAAGATATAAAAATTGACATTATCTTTAATAGTTTCTATGGACAATTTTTTCTCTTACTATACTGCATGCATTTGTTATGTTTTGTGCTGTGAATTATAATATTTATTGTAATGTTTTATTTAGTGAAATATATATATATATATATATATATATTTTGGATAGACTCATTAGGCCAGGGGGAGTGGTGGTTCACCCCTGGTTGGTTATAAAATATGGGCACTAATCAGGATTCCTAGCAAGTAGTCACTACTGATGACTGTGCTGCTCTATGTGTGGTAGCCAAATTAGACGTTGACATCGAGAGGACCTGCAAGACTTGTGGGATGTGCTTACTAAGTCAAAGCAAACCAAACCAAGCACCCATTCATTGCTGGGAATATCCTAGTCAGCCTTGGGAAAGGATTCATGTGGATTTTGCGGGCCCCTTTATGGGACATATGTTTATGATCGTTGTAGACGCTTATTCAAAATGGACGAAGATGTGCATAATGAATATGCCTACTGCCCAAGCCACAATAGAGAAGGTGAGATGGGTATTCGCCACACCTGGCCTGCCGGTATTGTTAGTGAGTGATAATGGCCCATGTTTTACCAGTGATGAATTCAAGCATATCCTGAAATGAATTGGTATCCAATAAATGTTCACTGCTCCTTATCGTCTCTTCTCCAATGGGCAGGTTGAGTGTATGGTGCGCCTGTTCAAAGAGGCACTGAAAATGTTAAGAATGGAATGGAAAGCAACCCTCAAAACCCAAGTACATAGTTTCCTATTGTTTTAGAACCACTCCTCATACAGCAACAGGAGTTTCTCCTGTTGAGTCGATGTTTAAACATGTTACAAACTGCTTGCCATTTACTGAAGCCAGATACATATCACTAAATTCAGGGTTATCAGGCCAATATGGAATAGGGAACAAAGGTGATGAGTCCCCTGTGTCAATTCAAGGTGGATGATTGTGTACTGGTGTGAAATTTTGGAGCTGGGGAGCAGTGAATGAAGGGCATCATGACCAGACAACTGGGGTCTGTAAATTATGAAGTGGGAGTGAGTAGAGGTTGAACATTCCTACTAACAATCCATATATGTCATGAAATTGAGTATAAAGCAGAGGTGCATCATTAAATTCCTTCATTTAGAAGAAATTCTATATACTGATCTTCACCAAAACTTGTTGAACACTTACAGAGATCAAACAATGGATGTGAACACAATTAGGTGATGAGTAATGCATTTCACCAGTGTTGACAGCAATGTGTGTGACAACCAATGTTCTGAACAGCCGTCAGCCCCTAAAATGTTCATTGCTGGTGAAAATGCATGTTCAGTAGAGATTACTATATAGAAAAACAGTTTTATAGCTGAAAACTTGATCTATGCAGCAGTGTTATTGAGTTCCCTGTATCTGTTGTAGTTTCCATGGAAATAAATAGGAGGCATTATTTTCAGAGCATCACATATATAATTATACAATTGAAAGCTCTTCTTAGGATCAGTATTTCAATATTTCAGAATCAAAAGGTTGACAAAAACTACATCTTTTGAAAGAGTATCCAACCATAAAAAATAAAAGTACTGTATTCAACAGCTTATAAGACACTCTGATACATTAGACACACCCACTGACTAAATTTTGAAGCAAGAATTTAGAATGTAATAATTAGAAAAGAATTCAACTCCTGTCACCAACCATTGATTTATAGGATACAGGGCAGTTTTGGGGAATATTTTATAAGAAAAAAATGTGTCTTATAAGCAGCAATATATATATATATATATAGTGTATCACAGAAGTGAGTACACCCCTCACATTTCTTCAAATATTTAAGTATATCTCTTCATGGGACAACACTGACAAAATGACACTTTGACACAATGAAAAGTAGCCTGTCTGCAGCATATATAACAGAGTTAATTCATTTTTCCCTCAAAATAACTCAAAATATAGCCATTAAAAGCTAAATCCCTGGCAACAAAAGTGAGTACACCAACTTAAGAAAAGTTGTTAATATTAACATACAACATGTCAACTGTCAATATTTTGTGTGGCCACCATCATTATCCAAAACTGCCTTTACTCTCCTGGGCATGGAGTTTACCAGAGCTTCACAGGTAGTCACTGGAATGCTCTTCCACTTCTCAATGACGACGTCGCGAAGCTGGCGGATATTTGAGACTGCGCACCTCCACCTTCTGCTTGAGGATGGCCCAAAGATGTTCTATTGGGTTCAAGTCTGGAGACATGCTTGGCCAGTCCATCACCTTTACCCTCAGCCTCTTCAGTAAAGCAGTGGTTGTCTTTGATGTGTGTTTGGGGTCATTGTCATGCTGGAACACTGCTCTGCGACCCAGTTTCTGGAGGAAGGGGATCATGCTCTGCTGCAGTATTTCACAGTACATGTTGCAGTTCATGTTTCCCTCAATGAAATGTAACTCTCCAATACCTGCATCACTCATGCAGCCCCAGACCATGACATTCCCACCACCATGCTTGACTGTAGGCATGACACACTTATCTTTGTACTTCTCACCTGGTCGCTGCCACACATGCTTAAGGCCATCAGAACCAAACAAATTAAATTTCGTCTCATCAGACCATAGGACATGGTTCCAGTAATCTATGGGCTTTGTTGACATGTCCTCAGCAAACTGTTTGCGGGCTTTCTTGTGTATTGCCTTCAGAAGAGGCTTCCTCCTGGGGTGACAGCCATGCACACCAATTTGATGTAGTGTGCAGCGTATGGTCTGAACACTAACAGGCTGAATCCCAATCTCTTTAATCTCTGCAGCAATGCTAACAGCACTCCTAAGTCGATCTTTCAAAGAAAGCATTAGGATGTGATGCTCAGCACGTGCGCTCAGCTTCTTTGGATGACCTACCCGAGGCCTGTTCTGAGTGGACCCTGCTCTTTTAAAATGCTGGATGATCTTAGCCACTGTGCTGCAGCTCAGTTTCAGGGTGTTGGCAATCTTCTTGTAGCCTTGGCCATCTTTATGTAGTGCAACAATACGTTAAGATCCTCAGAGAGTTCTTTGCCATGTGGTGCCATGTTGGAACTTTCAGTGACCAGTAAGAGAGTGTTAGAGCTGCACTACAAATTTGCATACACCTGCTCCCCATGAACACATGGACATAGTTACACTAATGAGTCACATGACATTTTGGAGGGAAAATGAAAAGCAGTACTCAATTTAGACATTTAGGGGTGTAGTTTCTTAGGGGTGTACTCGCTTTTGTTGCCAGGGATTTAGCTTTTAATGGCTATATTTTGAGTTATTTTGAGGGGAAAAGAAATTAACTCTGTTATATATGCTGCAGACAGACTACTTTTCATTGTGTCAAAAGGTAATTTTTTCAGTGCTGTCCCATGGAGAGATATACTTAAATATTTGAAGAAATGTGAGGGGTGTACTCACTTTTGTGATACACTGTGTGTGTGTATATATATATATATATATATATATATACACACACACACACACACACCTGCAGAGACTAAATTAAACACAAGTTATATTACTAATTTACTGGTACTAGTGTTTACTCATAAGCAAGTGGTCAGGTTTCAATGGGTTAAGATGAGGTAAAATATTATAAAGCCTCAATCAGCCTCAGAATTGGAAAAAATATACAACCATCCAATTAAAATAGGATTTGTTTGAACAATTAAACTTAATGTGTTACATTCACAGTTACCTCAGTCTACAGTGTTTTTCAAGTGCACAATGGATATGGAGAAAAAAGAAAGAAAAGAGATCACTTTCTCTATGAATTGGTAATCAAGAGAGATCGAAAGGGGGGGGGGCTTTTATTTCTGGTTTACACATGCAAAAAGAAAATCCCCTTTTTCGGCATGTATTGTCCAACTGAAGATGTCGACAGAGAATGAATCATCTAAGAGCAATAGAAAAAGGAGTTCAGTCATCCTAACTTTTGGAATGATATGGACTCATCTCAAAATTATAGAACATAAATATATTAAAATATAGGCATAGAAAGAACTGTTATATATGAACATCTCAAGACTAACAAATTCTTTGTATAATTTATTGGTACTAACCATAAGGAAAAAGAGCGGGGGGGTCTGCTTTTTACAGAAATAGATGAATAGAAAATAAATGCTAGCTAATATACCAAACTAGCTCATTCCCAGCAAGACAAGTTATAATGACTATAACATTTTTAGTGAAGATGCCTTTTATAAAGAAAATATCAACTTAATTAACATTGTTAGACAAATAAAACATTTTATTTACTGTAGATATTTTATTCATTCAGCTTATATTGTGTTATAAATTAGCCAAATTACCCACACCTTGATGCATGTCACACTTTTTTTTTTTTGTAAGAAAATTATGATTGATTTTAAATCATTGTTATAATTTCTGGAGAAAACTGATGTATTTCAATATTACTCAATGATCTTGCCAATGTAAAGATGCCTTTTTGAAAGAAATGCCATCTTCTGGCTTTCTCCTCTATTTTGGACAGGAGTCATTCCCTTGTTTAAATTTAATTTAAATCAAAGGAAAAAAACATTTTCAGTGGGGGGGGTGCCCATTGGGGACCCCCTTTGATCAAAATGAAATATACTTATCCAAGTACCCTGGGTAATTTAGTTTCAGAATATATATGGCTATGGGGGTCTATCTCCAAAAAAAAAAAAAAAAAAAAAAAAAAAAGGAGGAGTTCAATAACAAACAAACAGAAGAAAAGTCAATGATTCAATAATTGTTTTAAAAGATAAAAACATTTCTCTGATATCCATTTATAATAAATTTCAACAAAAACCAAACAAAATATCTATTCTTTAGTTTGCAAACATGGATATACAGAGAAAGGATATTTTTTTTATAAAATTTTAATTTAAAAACTGCACATGGTACATACTACTGTAGGTCATTGAAAAAAGTGGGGGTCAGAATACAGTGTTAAAAAAATTAGCATAGAATAAATTCAAATAAAGATATAATACAACTATCAGAAAAAGAAAAATATGTATTAGAAAATTGGTTTTGATTTTGAAATAACAAAAGAGAAATTCACTAAGTTTTCATGGAGATATAAATGCTGCAAACAAAGTAAATATATAAATGCTAAACCAAGTAACTGCTCAGTAATAATATTATGAGTACTGTATTTCCTCAAATAAGCATCTGGGGCACTTATTTAGAAATTGAACCTTTAGGAAGAGTTCTTATTTGAAGGAGGTGCTTATTGAAAAAGAAAAAAAATCTCTCACATAGAAATAAATTGGGATACTTATCCTTTATAACTTGCCTTATACAGATTATGAAATCAAAACACTATATTTAAACAAGAGTGGCAAGACATTTTTAACCAAGCTCTTCAAAATATATTATGATTCATAAACATTTGCAACAAATGCTCACAATGATCTCACACATTGATAGATAGAACAATAGAATAACAGATTCTAGCCTAAAGTGAATACAGAAACATCTTTAAAATTAAGAATAAAACTCAATGAAACTTTGAAGAGATATTAGGTAAAATAAAATTGATTTTGTGAATCATTAATTTGTCAAATGAAGTTTTAGGAAATACAAAAGAGGGACAATCAATTTTCCTTTTATTTTGCAGAAAGTTGGAATAAAATAAATAAATGAAGGGGGACTGCTGTTATTTTATTCAGAATTTGAAATAAAATTTGCAAAAGAGGTAGCATTTGTGGAGTATTATTCAAGGAGTGTTTTTTTAAAAATTACTTCATTATGTGGAGGGGGATGGTCACTTTTCATTAAAAATATGATATTTACTCTCTTCATTTATAGTGAAAAATAAAAGTGAGAATGCTTTGTAGATTTTTAGTGTATTAAATATTTTGTCACTAGCAGTTTCCTTTTAACATAAAAGTAATCTAAAACCTCTTCACACTGTTTTCTATCTTCAAGGCTCCACTTACTATTCACAGATGGTGAATCACACTTAAGCCACCTACACTCTAATAAATTGTAAATTTTAATATCATAATTAAATAAATTTTTGTTTAGATTCAAGTCTGAAACTAAAAATAATATTAAATTAATATATTATATATAAAATAAATATTGCATACTGCAATAGTGGTAAATAAAAATTGTTTGAAATCTCTATATAGGATTACATGCATAACTCTTGCAAGGTATAAAATTAGTGGTATTTTGTTTACACTTATGAGGGATATATGATATTGAATTTAATGTGGTTTTTGGTATTTTGTAAGTTTACAGGTGGTTATCTTTGGATAACGTCCTTACACCAATTTTTGGCCTATTAAAATAAATGAAAAGATAATTAGTACAAACAAATATATACTTTGCATGTAAAGATAAAAATTTATATATCTTAAAACATACAAAATTTAAAGAGTTCATAAGTTCATATGGAAGGTTCTCATGTTGAATGTTTAAGTCCTTTAGCATATGTATAAGAGAAAGAGTGTGTCCTTGTAATGGTCATGTGTATGTATTTAGTTGGTAATAGTAATCCTTTCAACTCTGTGTATTTAAGGGTCCAGAGATAAAATTATTTCATTGACTCTCTGGTTTCTTTGTCTGATTGCCTCTCTATACACTTTTCCAAGACAAAGGAATTCATTTAAAAATTGTCTCGTTTTCTGATTGGTTCACAGGTGTGACTCGTTTGACAATCCCTTTTATTCACCTACATTTAGGAATGATGACCTTTTGTCCTCTTATTTATTTATTTTTTTTCTTTTTGTTTTTATTTCTTTATGGCAAACCAAAATTGTTCTGTATTAATTTTTTTTGAAACAGTGAAATTTTTATTTTTTTTATCACTATTCTGTAACAATGGAAATGAAACTTGGTATCTCATCCATGACAAAATTGAGAAACCAATATAACCCATTACATTATGTGAGAGTAATTGCTAAAGGAGATTAAATATGTATAGATTGTGTCTTTTTTTTATATGAAAAACTGAGGAGTCACTTTGTTGTGGATCTAGGAAGGCTGCATGAATATTTAAAGTTGAGCTGCAAATAAAACATGCAACATCCACAAACATAAATTATAAAAAAAGGGTCAAATGGTAATGATATTCAATTACGATAAAAAGGACAGGTTTGGAACAACAAATTAATTTTTATATACACTATTTTACAATTTTTGTCTTCTAATGATGTGTACGAGAGTATATTTAAGAGAAAAAGTTCTTTACCGTTTCAGAAATGTTCAATGCCTAAAGTAAGTAAAAGTTGTCTGCCTTCTACTATAAAGGGTGAATTTAAATTAAGCAAAAGTTTTTCTAAGAAAGATATTGAATGGAAAAGGTTTGTCATTGAAATTTTCCTAATCTTTCATAAAGGAATTTTGTGCCAAAATGCAGTATAAAAATGAAGTTCTTTTTTTTTGGTGTCTCTCCGAGATTGTATCTCCTTTGTGTGTGTAAATATCTCTCTGCATGTGAGTAAATCTCTATGCGTATCCCTTGTGTGTGAGAATCTCAATGTGCCAAAAACTTGTTTGTTGATTGTATTTATAGTTTTTTTAACAACTAAATCGGCTCAATAGAAGCTTTGCAGATGTTGCCAATAATTCCCAGAAAGGCGTGGGTGAGATTGTATTTTCTATTTTTCATCCAATGGGATTTTTTGAAACATTTAAATTACGGGTGAATTCAAGAAAGTTTTTTTTTTTTTTTTTTTAAGTCAGTCGAGCCTACGTTTGCACAAAATTTGATTGTTTTTTTAAACTTATTTTACATTTAACAACCAATGAAATTCAAGAAAATGTTTGAAATTGAAATAAGGGTTACTAAAACTTCCTTTTAGTAGAGTAGCAAGAGTTTGTTTTTCTTTATTTACATGTGGACTATTGTCCTGATCTTTGTTATTATCACAATATTTCAGCTCAGCTGTTGCAACCTCCAGCCTTTATCAGGTGCTTGTTGATCCAGGTAGCCTTCAAAGAATTTTGAACTGAACTCTTTATTTAATTTATGGAGTAGATTCTTCTTGAGCCACTGATTATGTCTTGGGATATCTTGTTTAGTTCTTATTTAGAACTTATTTAGTTATATAATGTATAATAAGAACTAGACAAAATATTCCTAGAGATGGTTAATTGAACAAGAACAATCTACACCTGTAGATTAAAGAAAGGGTTTAGCTCAAAATTCCTTAAGATTACCTAGACCAGTCTTTATCAGGTCTTTACCTGATAAAGACTGGAAGGCACGCCTGATGAAATGTTGTGACAATAGTCTGCATCGAAATAATTATAACTCAAAAATTCAAACAAAGTTTGTTTATTCAGTTAAAATAAAGATGCTTGACACCCCACCCCCGACTAAAAAAAAAAAAAAAAAAAATTATTTATTTGAAAACATAAGAGCTGGAGTTTAGATAATAGTTAATTGGTAGAAAACCCAGATCCTAATGATTGTAATTTCTTTTTTAAAAAAGTTATATTTCAACAGATAAAAGTAGATAGACAAACTTATACAAAGAGAATTCTTCAACATCTTTTACAAAAATATCGTAAAGAAAAAAGCAAAAGTGTTCTGATACATTACAGTAACGTATCAATGATGTTAATACTATTTGTAAAGAGTCACAAGTAAAGGGAAATAACTAGGAAAATGCTCACCAAATGGACTGGCTTAAAACCACAGTAGATTTCCATTTGATGAAGTTTTACATCTGCATTCAGAGGATTGCATTCATAAAAGTCTGGCTTTGTATGCAGTCGGCTGTAAAGCACCAATATAAATGGATTGGGAGGCAAACATACTCTGGAAAGACAGAAATAAATATGATAAATCAATATTTATAGGAAAGGGAAAATGAAAGAAAAACAACATCACTACTCAATTTGTCATCAGATTTAATGTCCCAGATTTATTAAAATGTTTGGGTAAAAACCATTTATGTGAACAAATCAATTAAGAGGAGGAAATATAATCAAGGCTACAAGATAAGGTAAAGATTTATCTGCATGCATTGAGTATTCTCACATTTTGACATCATGAGGTATTGCTAGAGTGTTCAGAGTTAATGGTAATGATATTTAACCTGTTTGCTGAGAAATATATTTTTTTAATGTTATAACTCTTGTGTTGAGGTTTCTCCAGTAAAAACATTTATAAAAATTCTTCATTGTATGCTTAAAATGGTTTTATTTTTATATGCATCAACTAATATCTACAACAAAATATCTAATAATTGTGTTAAAATATTTTAGTAATAGTATGAAATATCTTAAAACCCAGATCTACTCATATAAAACAAAATTGTGTAAACATTTATTAGTTGTCAAGTAAATATGCAAATTTTATCTGCACAAAGGGAATGCTCCTATTTTGCAAAAGAATAACATGGGTTCTTTCAACCGTGGCAACTTGTTAAGACGAGTTATTTTGTATTTAGCAGTAAACAGGTTAGGCCTTGAAATCATGTATAATCTTAGGGTCATTATGTTTCACAGGAATAATTGCATGGACTTTGGGTAGGGTTGATGTGAAAAAGAAAAAAAACATTATGAGAAATATAATTATTCGCTTACACATATTTGTGTGGCATAACTAGTTTAACAGTAATAGTGGATTGATTTGTTCTGTTTTTTATGACTTTTTAAGCCTTTGTGGGTTATTTAAAACCAAAATTTGGATTGTAAAAATTCTTTGTTGCAAGTAAATAATGCATTAACAATTTTTTAAGAATAACATTGAATTTTCCAGATACAAGTTCTGCTATTTAATCCATAACTGGGGGGATTCATACCTTCCCAATAGTATTTGCGCAGAAGTGAATATAACAAACTCAACTGGAATTCAAACTTGGCTCTCAGATTTCTCATTTCAAGCCACGACCCATTAACAACACCTGCACATCCTTAGACACTAACAGATTAAATGGTTTTGCAAATCAACATATAAAGTGGCAAAAAGAATCAAGTAGATGACTGCAGAGAATCCATTTGTGGGCATTATCGATATATTACATTATTGGTTGTAAATTTATATAAATGCAAAATACAAGTTCCATAACTTCATTCTTAATTCATTATCAAAATTCATTACAATTAAATAGTATGAACAAATAACCTTTCAAATTTAATTCATAGAAAATTTCTTTACTACATATTAGTGAACATTTTTAAAGCATTTCAATATCTCTGTGGTTTGTATATTAACCCTGTATACTTCATTGTTTGTTCTGCCATTAACATGTACATGAAGAGAGAAGAGATGGAGTCATACCTTTGTAAAAGATATTGTGTAATCTCACTACATGCATATCCCAATATCTCTATGCAAATAATGTGCCCTTAAGACTACTGTGGCATCTAAATAATAAATAAACATGAGAAAAAATGTAAGAAGATATGTAATTCTACCACTAGATGTTTGGTGTTGTTGTTGGGCTTGGGTCTACAAAAATTTTTACCAATTGTAGTATTTTTTTTTTTTTCTTTTTTTTTTTTTACAGGATTTTATTCTAACAAAATACAATAAAGAAAGAAATGCAAGAAATAAAAAATAAAAAAAAACCATCAAAGCAAGGAAGAATATAACTCTCATAAAACCGCAATGAAAGAATTCTTCTTTAAAAGGTGTACAATAATGGTAGTTTCCCTTTATTGCGTAGGTGCATTTTCATTTTAATTTGGAATTATGGGGAGTCCAATAAAATAAAGTAAAATATAAAAATGTACAAACAAATATAAAAGAATTCAAATTAATACAAAGCATTTGTTTTCCTTTAAAATCATTATCTCTTTTTCTGTCTTTCACTCTATATATTTCTATGTCAAATAAAAAGAGGAAAAAAGATGAAAAGACAAACCCTGACCGAAAAACACCGGATATTGATGATCCAGCAGCTAAATAATTTGTGGCAAAACCTACAAAAAACGAAGTAGGATCCACACATAACTTCTGCTATATAAAATAAAATAAGAAAGGATCCCGAAAAAAGAATTTCAGCCAATTAAATAATTTAACAAAAAGATTTGCATGCCTTTAGATCCTCATCAAAAGGGATATAAACTGACACCTTAAGTTAAGCAGCAAGAGGGATTTGAAACAGGAAGGACTCAAGACAGAAGATACTAAGGATTAAGAACTACATTGAAGGAATGCCACTATAAAAACCAGCCAAGTATGTTGCATTAAGCTGTCATCAACTTCACAATTTCCGTCTTCGTTAGGACCAATGAACCCAGTTTTGATAGATAACAGCCCTATGGCAACCTGACAATCCCACTTCTGAAATTGATCACTTTAATGGCTACTAACTTGTGAACTAATTTTCGTTACCCCAAAATACAAAGGACTCACCAGATATATGTCAAAATAAATATATTTTATTTGTTTATACACTTGACTTCAGTCCATTCATTCCTACTTACAAAGTTTTCCTATAACCAATTCAACCCAATTCTGCAAGAAGATGAATCAAGAGAAATTAAAAAAAAGCCATCTAAAATACAATGGGGTCCTGCTTGGACCAATAATAATAATATACAAGACTCAAGTAAATTGTAAGTTTTTTTTTATTTTCCCAATGTTTTTGTTTTCTCTTCAAATCTAACATTTTTTAATATTTACATTAGTTAAATGCAGGGCTTCTTGGAGAATGTAAATCATCAATTTTTTTTGCGGGGTGGGATGGAGGATAGATGCATCATTTACTGAAAAACTGCTCTAAATCATGAAATAAAAAATGCAATAAAACTAAAAAAATTTCAATGAATAATGAATTTTTATAGGATTTGTTTTCATTTTTATTATAATAACTTATTAAGTTTTAATTATTTTAAATCTTAAAATTCTGTAATAAATTGATCTTTATAGATGATATTATTAAGTGAGAATTATATTCATTAATCATAATTTGAAAAGCTTAGTATGTCATCAATTCCAGCTTTTTTTTAAAAAAGTTTGGATATTTTTCTTTATGTGTATAAACAGCCATATTTATGAATACAGTAGACCATACATACCATTATCAAGAAATAAAAGCAATAAATTTAAAGTCAAAATTTATTAATATCGATAAATGTTAGATTAAAGAGAATAATTTCCTTTATTTTAAAATTACTGAATGCTTAAATATTATATAAATGGCAGCAGTGACATCATTTTCTTCCATTAAGTTTTTTCACATATGATCACAATATAAAATATTAGATCTTTTATCACACTGTCAAAATGTTAACTCCTTAAATAAACAGGTACTGTTGGGTTAAAAAATGCATTTCTACAATATTTTAAACTTAAAGTAAGTAATAGTTGTTTCAAATCAGATTAATTATACTTTAAATTAGCTAATATTCTTCAAATAAAGTTTTGGAAAAGTATTTTTTATTTTTGGAAGACTTTAATAAAGACTAAAGAGAATTACTGTTGAATAAATACAGACTAAAAATGGCACTGAATTTAAATTTTTTAGAAAAAGAAAACAAAACAACATTTTCCAGTCTTTTTAAACAAGTTGTTTTCAGGTATTTTGATTAGTGGAAATATTAAATTTAACGTATTAACTTTAAATTAAAACTAAGGTAAAAGCTTCAAAAAAGATTTTTCATTCATAAAAAGTTTTAAACCTTGGGTATCACAAATTTTTGGAGGTACCTAAAACAAATATTTAAAATGCTATTTTTGTTTCTACTCAACATGAAAAAAATAATTATAATTTTTTTTATCAGAATTTTTGCCAATCCATATTCTTGTGAATAAAATCAAGTTTCTCACAGCAAAATTAAAATTTCTATAAGTATTATAGGTTTTTCTATTCTGCTGTGTCGAATTTAGCACTAAAAATTGGTGAGTGCTTCAGAACAATTTTTTTAAAATTCTAATGTAAGCAACACTTTTTACAATGCCATGAATGTATTACTTTCAGTAACCAACTCCAATTGATATCCAACTCATTAGGTTCTGGATCACCAGAAATCTCAGTAAAGTCATCAGAAGTAAATTGCATGAAAAATGTTTTCCTAGATATTTGTCATACAAGTATTTCAAATCAACCAAGGAAAAAAGACTTCCCAAAGCATGGACCTCATGAAAGATCTTTTCAATCCAATTGATTTGACAGGTTGTATTATGATGAAGAAAGAGAATCCACCTTTTGTTTTATCTGTCTAAAAGCTGCAGAAGCTAAATCTCTCTCAATTCAATCTGTGGTCCAAGGAGATGACTTTACAAAGACAGGATTTTTTAATTGGAGGAAGTCCCATAAAATATCAAAAGGGTTTAAAAAAACACCAAACCTCAAACATTCATCAAGAAGCCAAGGAATGTTATGGAAATATTACAACTGCCAAAGCAAATGATATTGTAAACATGATCTCGTCTGAGGCCGCCATGAAACAAAGTCAAAACTGCCAGATGTTGTTAAAGATTCTCACAAATATTAGATACCTAACTCGATAGTCACTGTTACTTTGAGAAGTAACAAATCAAGAACTGAAGTTGATTCTAACTTTCACCAGCTGCTTTTACTAAGATGTGAAGATGATGAAATTTTAATCAATTGGTTGAGTTGAAGCACAGAAAAATATACCAGTCCTGAAATTCAAAATGAGATGATTGAGGTAATGGCACTTGGGATCCTTCATAATAGCTCTAGACAAATACAATCAGTCAAACATTTGGTGATTATGGCCAATGAAATAGACATATCAAATTAAGAGCAGGTAATGATATGCATAAGATGGATTGATAAGAAAACCTTGATGGTTCAAGAAGAATTTGTTGCCATGAAAACAGTGGAGCGTTGTACTGCTGATATGCTTGTTCAAGCGATAAAGGACACACTTACGCAAATGAATCTAAAATTGGAAAATGCAAGAGGACAATATTATGATGGTGCTGTTATGAACAATGTTATGATGATGGGTGAGAAATCTGCTGTGGCCACTCAAATCAAATCCTTTAACTCAGTGTTTGTACATCCATTGCTATGGGCATACACTAAATATATCCATCAAGGATGCCTGTACAAAAGTTCAATGTTTGAAAGACATTTTTTATACTACAAAGGAGGTTTATAAGTTGGTGAAAAAATCTCTGCAAAGAGAAACATACTTGAGAAAATCAAGACTTGAAAGTGGAAATGAAAAAAAAGAAAGAATGTCCATGCCTTTTATCCAACAAGATGGACAGTGCTTCAGACCACTCTCCCTTCCATAATTTCCAATCAGGAGTTGATGGGATTACGGAAGCAATCTCTTTTGATCACAAAAGACGCCGAGATGAAAGGCAAAATCATTGGGACACAGATGAATATGAGAAAATTTTCATTTCTTTTCAGTTGTCTACTTGGCAAGAAAATATTAATGCAGACAGATAATCTTAGATGATACAATCTCCTGAGCTTTCAGCAGTTGAAGCCCACCAGTTAGCTAAAGTCATGATACAAAGTTTGCAGCAAGAAAGGAATGATAAATCATTCAATTTGTTTTGGGAATACATTTCTAAAAAAAAAAGAGAACTTGACATCAATGATGTGGAACTTCTAAGAAAATGAAAACATCCAAAACGTCGGACTGATTTTAAGCAAATGAACAGAACTTTCCCTTCACAAAAGAAATGTACAGAACTAAGTTCTTTGAATCATACAATTTTGTCACAACATCTATTACTGACAGGTTTGACCAATCTGACTATAGTATATGGAACAATGCAAAATGTTCTTTTGAAGGCTTTGCGTGGTAAAGAAAATCCAAACAAAAAGATACATAAGAAATTAATTGAAAAAAGTTTCAATCAAGTTGACATATCCCTGTTAAATATCCAGCTCAAACTTTTACCCAATTTATTGAAGAGTGATAGAGCAAATGCAAATCTCCCAACAATATTTGAAAAGGTGAGACCATTAAGTGAAGCACAAAGAAGTATTATTAGTGAAGTCTTAAAGCTCATAAAACTCATTCTCTTAACGCCCACAACAAAATGCTGAAAGTGAAAGAATTTTTTCAGCACTTAAGAGTTAAAAACAAATTTATGATCAACAATGAGTGAAAAGCAATTTTGATGGTAATGCATGTATACAAAGACATGAATGATTCAATCAACGTAATAGAAGCTTCAAACTTGTTTTCCAAAAGGAAATCACATTTCAAAACACAATCTTTCCAAAAACACTAAAACACATAGTATTGGAATACAGACAGGACAATAGCTTAAAATGTTCTTGTTGTAGTTGTTTTATTTTTTTCAGACCCCAAAGAAAGAACTAAGTAAAAAAAATTTTAAAAATAATTTTTTCCCTTCATCAATGAATCTATATTTTCCCTGAAGGCATTCAACAAAAAGATGAAAAGTTCTTTCACTCATAACACAGACAGTTCTCTATTATTTCAAAGATGATTTCTGCCAATCTAGAGGTACTGGAAATTTTAAATGTTCTTGCCACTAACCATGTTGGCAGCCTTTGATAACTGATGGCTAAATTCTAAATATCCCCCCCACACACACACACACTTGTCTTTGCTACAGCCATCATAGCATATCGACCCTTATGGGTAATTTTATGCTGAAAGGGGTTGCCAAAAGAAAAATTAAAATAGGAATTCAAAAGAAAATGTTCCGACTATATATTAATACTTACCGTTGTTGTAAATTACTATTACAAAGATATCGAAGGCAGCTAGCCCAGACAAATGGGTGGCACACAGACTCAACACCGCTCACCCAACTGAAAAAAAAAAATAAAAAAAAAAACAACTTGATTCAGAGATTGGGAGAGAGGGTATGAATCGTGCAAACTTTCAGATGAAAGTGAAAAGAGAAAGACTGCGGATATACATAGAAAAGAAAAAAGTAAAGGCTATAAAAGAAGAAAGAGAGATATTGGAAAGAAGTAAAATTTAGAAAATGAGTGCATAAAAAAAGAGAAATTTGAAAAGGGATATATAAAGAGAGGAACAGAGAGTGATAAAGTTAGAAGAGGAAAGTAAAATATATAAAGAGAGTGATATAGAAAGAGGGAATAAGAGAGATTAAGACATTGCATGATAAAGAAATAAAAATATCAACCAACTTACATTCCTATAAGAGGCAAAGTGAATATCTTAGGATCTGAATCTACCATAAGTACCAATTTTCGAGCATGGTCCATAGTTATGTATCTAAAATTAGTCAAAAAAGAATACATTTTTATAGTCATTAAAACAATTTCCCCAAGATGTCCATCCAGAAAGTAATAAGTACAGAATTATTTAAAAAAAAAAAAAAAAAAAAAAAAAAAAAAAATCTTTAATGAAAATAAAAACAATTACTAATAATTACTATATTCAAATTGTTGTTTATTCTTTTTGTTCCTTTTATTGTGATAGGCTTTTTCTTTTAAGGTATGAAACATCTTACATAGGAAGGTAGATACTATAATATTAATACACAAATTCTAAATATTGTAAATATGTTCTATGTCACACTCTTCATAATAAATCTGATTAGCGTAAGTCTGTAAAAAAACTGAACCAACCACAGAAATTGTAAGAAACAGTCATCACTCTAAGATGTTGATAACATTTCATAATATGGGAGAAATATAAAATACTAGTTTATGTACTGTTCAGTTAAAAAATTGAATTGATGATAAAAACATTTATAATGTCAATGAATTTTGTACTTGGTCATTAATTTATAAGAATTTTAGTTAAAAAAAACACAAAAAAAAAAAAACAAATCAATCCTTACCCTGACCGTGATTGTCCATGCAAATTACTCCAGCCCATTGGACTGGCCAAATCCTTGGAAAGAGCAGTCAACATAATAGGAACAGAGTTGATGGGGACAACTTTAATTTGAGTCACTGCCGTAATGACATCAAACTCAAGGTAGGTTTCAAGAAGACCACCCTCACATTTTTGGTCAAAACATTTGCCAAGAACTGAGAAAAAGTTGCCGAGTTCCACTGGATCACTGCTTCCACAATGAACAAAGACATTCTGAAAACAAAATAATAATGATAATGAACACATAATGAATACATAAAAATTTATTAACTATTAACACCCTGTAGGTAATTTGTTTGCTGAGCAAAAAACTGTACTGCCATTGCAGTCAAAAAACTGTTTCAAATTTTTGAAATTTGTGGTTGTTTTTTTGTTTTGTTTTTTTACATCCTGTATAGCAACTAGAATTGACAATGTGACTACTACATTTGAAGGGTCTTGAAAGAATTCAGAAGAAAAAGTAATATTTGTCAATACTGCAAGCTGAATAGAATTATTAAAGTTACCAAGTGGTATAGAAAAGTTCTTGGTCTAATCCACTTTTGATTAATCTATCCATGTTCCAAATTTTTATGATTGCTCATGAAAGATTTAAGATTCTTTATATCTGTTATTGTTATATCAGAAATATTGACATAACAGTGGAGTATCTATTATTTTACTTTTTTTTCTTTTGCTGGTTGAAAGCAATAATATTTGCTTTTACTTGGAAGATAATTTATACAATGTATTTTATTAACAAATAGATATAGTAATCATCAGATATAAAGAGAACAGCCATGAAATAGTTTTTAAGTTTTTTTTTTCTTGAATTTAAATGGCTTATGGCCACATCCTATTGAAATACTGGTCATTGTCTGATCATTGAAGTTAAATAATGTCAAGCTTGATCAGTACCTACGTGGGTGACCACTTGGGAATATCAAGTGCTGTAAGCTTGGATGTGCAAGTGGTGTAATATATCAGCTCAGAATGGAATGAGAAATTGGAGAGAAGGAACAAAAGAAAAAAGTTTTCTATCTAGCTAAAATCACACGAGTTAAACTACCATTTTTTTATCTGCTTTTTTAAAAAAAAAATTTTTTATTAATGCATTAAAACTTAAAACTATTGTGGAAAGAAAATGTAGTATTTGCCACCATAGACACTTATGATATTCTAATCTATAAATAAAAATAATGAAAAAATTAAAAAAGAAAAGCACAAACAAACCTTTACAGCTTTTGTATAATCTTCAGGTGGGAAGACACATTTTTTTGATTTTGAAATCTGAAAGAAACAAAAATAATGTTCTTATGCAATAAGCACATAATCTATTCTATAATATAATACAAAATACAATGTGTCTTTGTATATGCATCAGTCACATAGTATTTCTCCAATAACAATATATTTCATTATGTTAACAGGAGGCATTATTTGATGTCAACAAATGAACATGACTGATGTTATCATAACAAAGGAATGTATTATTAGCAAGTTGGTGAAATCAGGTTGCTAAATGCATTGCTTTTTCTATTGTTTCTATATGTTTTTGTCAAACATTTTTTTTAATGTTTAATGAGTTAAAAACAGAATTCTTTCTGACATACAAGAATAGTTAATTGTATACATAAAAATCTATAGATTATTCATGCAGAAAACATTACCAATGCAATTGCAAAAATATGATGACAATATTTGTCATCATTTTTTGATGATATAGGCAATCTAGTTCAAAAATAAAAATTCACACGATAATAGAATGTTAAATTTATGATAAACCACATATATTTATGAATATCTCAGCTAATAATGATATCTTTCTGTATTACAAGTTTTACCTGTCTATGGTGTTTAGGAATATGGAAAATTAGTATAAATAATTTATATAAAAACAAAAAAAAAAATCATAAGAATAATGAACTGGAAAATGCACGAGCATAACTGATCTAAGAAAATCCAGGTTTCTGTACCAAAAGTGAAAATGAAAAGCAATTATAAAGGAGAAGTTTGATAAGAGTAAATATGTTTTGCATGTATAATTTGTTTTTAGAATTCTAAACAATGAAAATTGCTGATTTGCAATATTTGGTATGAATATCTGAAAGCATGAATCGGTCAACTTACAAGTATTGGCACTTGTATAGGCATCACCTTGTTTTCATCTGAACCTTTGGCTTCATCTGCTGTATCCACCATAATGGAAACACGTTGTCCATCTGGAAATATAAAGAAATTATGAATAACAATGAAATACCAAAATAATTCTTAATAGTGAATAATTGAAGAAAAGCAGAAAATGAGTGAAATTTTTCATTCATCTAATTTTTTTTCCAAAAGATAAGACTTGTTTATGCTACTGTTAAAAAGGATCTCTAGCCTGTGTGTAAAAAATCAGTTATCAATTAACTTAAAAATTGTCATAGTTATTTACTTAGCTCAGGTACAAGGCTACATATACAGGCTAGCTTGTGAGAATGAAATTACTAGTAACAATCTGAAACACCAACTTGTTAACTCGATTTTCTGGTTATTTAAAAACTAGACTATTTGAAATGTAAAAAATATCAAAAAAATTGGAAAATATATTTGCTGTAGTGAGTTAATGAATTTTTTTAATTTCATGACAGAATGAAAAAAACGAAAAACAATTCTGCTTGTTCCTTAGTACATATGTTGTACCCTGCCATTACCCCAGATAAACAATGGACCATTCCTGTTTGCAAAGATAGATGGAAAAAAAGATATATTAAAGGTGCTGTTTGTTTTAAGAGGAAGGAAGAGAAAAGAAAGGAAAGGAAAGATAGCGGAGGCAACAACACTAATGTGTTTAACATCTGCTTTAATGAAATGGTAAACCTTGTCAAATTCTAATCTTTTCATCTGTACCTTCTTTGTTAAATAATGACCTGCAGTCATATTTATGATTGTTATTGTGATATTTTGTTAAAGTTGATAAGCTCAAATATTTACTGAGGCAATAGGTAAGGGAATTTTAATAGTTGTGGAACTTGCAAGGAGTTTATTCAATCATTAACTTAAGAATTAAGATTCATCAGAAAATTAAAATAGGAAAACCATTAAATTTTCACCAATATTTCTAGTCTAACTCAATAGATTAAATATAGGGTTCAGTTTGAAATTCCCTGAAGGTTACCCAGTTCTACATACACCTGATGAAGGCTGGAGAGCACAACGGCCAAAATGTTGTGATAACAACAACAAAGATGAGGATAATAGTTTGTATGTAAATAATAACTTCTCATTGCAAAAATTCAGACAGATATTAAAGAAATCAAAATTACTTTGATTCTAAAATATCTCAAACATCTGATTTCAATATATAATTGAAAAGTCATTCCTACTTGAGCACTTGAAGTCAATAGTTATGTGATACACTGTGATTTGCCACTTAACATTTTTAAGTGGTTACTTTTTAAAAAAATAATTGAAACATAAGAGAATGTGTGTATCCACTGTGCCATATGTCCTTGGATAAAGGCGTTGGTTAGATCCAGTGACTTTGGTACTAAGCTGAGTTTAATAAATATTACAAGAGATCAAAATGGCTCACAGGAAGCACCCCCTTCACCCCACAATCAATACTGAAAAGAGCAATAACAGCAAACTTGAGAAACCTATTTTCCTGAAAATAGAAAGATTTCATATATTTCAACTGACAGCAGCATTAGCTTCTCAGTCAAGGAATAGCAAATGTTTCCTGATGTGAATACAGCTAATTTTACCATTACCATTAAATATAGGCAATTTCAAAATGGAATTTTTGAAAATTTCTAATTCTAGCTGTTAACCTATACATATTTATTTTTATAAGCAAATTAGCATTTTGACCAATACTCAGGTTGTTTAATTTTTGCACAAAAATTAGTTGCTTAAATTTTTTGTTTGGTTCTAATAAAACAGAAAAACAATTCAATATATCTAAATTGGTAGAATTATTAAATACAGTATAAAATAGCATATTCAGTAACTTATTTTGTTTAATTTTACTCTTTTTTTTCTTCTTATTTTTTTGCATTGCTTAAGCCATTCTGATGGCAGTAGTAGAATTGTTTAAGATTTAGTCAAATTTGAGCACAGTTTCTTATAAGATAAAAGAAATAGTGTCATTCCTTATTCATTTATATTTTTTCAATCTAATATTTCTATGTAAAGCATGAAATCCATTACTTTATGTCCTATTCTATTACCTGTTCATTTGATATTGCTTTATCACAAAATCATGTTAAGGAGAAATAGAACTGACTTATATATAAAAATATAAATTTGAGTGACTCTTTTGTTTCTAATTATGATAGAAATAAAAGAGCTGCTCATATTTATATTCATTATTTACATTATTTGGACTACTGTTCTCATCTTTGTCGCCATATTTATTACAACGTTTCAGCCGTTGTACGCTCCGGCCTTCTTCAGGTGGTTGGAATGTCGAACTGAACCCTTTATTTCGCTCACTGGGGTAGACTGTTCTAGTTCCACATGCCATGTTTTAATGGATGTCAGTTATCAGTTATCTCCTGTTAATTTCCCTCTGAACTCACACTCTTTGGGTCCTGTCACTGGATCTAACCAATGCCTTTATCCACTGTGCCATGTGTCTTTGGATAAAGGCATTGGTTAGATCCAGTGACAGGACCCAAAGTTCGACATTCCAACCACCTGAAGAAGGCCAGAGCAGAGACAGTACATGTACCAACAAGACTGGCCTAATATCAAGATATGAAATGTATAATTATTTACATTAATTGCATTCAGACTAATATCCTCATCATTGTTGTTATCATCATCACCAATAACAGCAAAGACGAGGACAGTAATCTGAATGTAAATAACTTCTCATCCCAGAAGTTCAAACAAAAGAAATGTATAAATACCAAATTGTTTTAGAAAAATTAACGGATGACTTATTTCAAATTCATAACTGACATTTTTCATATGCAAAAAGAGAAATAAAAAATATTTCATAAAACTCTAGTCCCAACTATAATTTAGGAAATGATTTTTAGAAGACAAACAAAATGTTCAAGAAGAGAGTTTTACTTACCTTTATCATAGACAACATTTGCATAAAGTGTAATTCGTTGACTATCCAATGAAGATGCTGCATGCTGTTTAATAACATGGAGCCCTGACACCGAGACACAAACCTGTGGCTTTCTGTAAAAAAAAAAAAAAAAAAACTAAAAATATTTATGTAAACCTCCAACACAGAGTTCATAATACATTGATAAAAATCAAAATTATTTTAATATGTTGGATGCATATTTGTAAAATCTTTTAGGAATATTAGCAGACTTGTCAAGATTACAAAAAGCAAATATTAATTCATATAAATTTAAATTTATTCACACTATTGAACTTTACATATTTCTCTATGAAAATTAAAACTGCACACCAAAAGTACCTTTTTTTAATACTGCAATTTAATATCAATAGCAGCTGTTACCAAATTTACAATTTATTAACAATTACTGGTTAGATTTGCTATTTCAAATAGTTTAAGAAACAATGAGAATTTGGATCTTTACTAATCACGAAATCTGAATTCCAATCTGAATGTTGATATCACTTATAAACACAAAGTATCACACAAAAAGACCTTAACAAAAAAAAAAAAAATATCTACAGCTTAATTTCAGTTTTTTCAATATTTTTAAATTGGACATATTGAGAATAATTAAACATAGAATAAGGATAATTTCACACAGTACCAAAAATTGCTACAAAACCAAAACATTAACCTAAAACTTGAGTCATGTTCTTAAATAACCTTATCAAATCAACTTTCATATGGATATCATATATGGTGCAAAAAACATTCAATAATATCTAAAACTGTCAGCTGTATATAATTGCTTTCTCAGATCAATTATTAAAAATGGCTTTGAGTAAATGAAGCCTGTAGGTTTTCCTTCTTCGAACCTCGTGGACTGGCACTACAGGATCACAAACAAAGAACTGTATCAAATAACAAAAACCACTTCACTAGAGGATTGTCAACAGTAACCACATCTAAAATGGATAGCACATGAAACTCAAGAAAATAATGACATAATCCAGATATTGATGTTCTACACTACTTCAAACAAAAGGTTAGAAAGGAAATATCCATGAATATTGGAAAGAGTGATAACAGAAGACTTGAGAAACCTATTTTCCTAAAAAATTGTTTTAATAGAAAAATTTTATAAATTTCAACTGATGGTAGTATTGGCTGCTCAGTCAATGGCTAATATTGCCATTATAAAAAAATTAAAATGTTACCTGAAATTATATCAACTCTGTTGTTAATATTCAAAATGAAACAAAGTATAATTGTACCATATTCTTTCAAACAAAAATAAAATACATATAGAAAATATAGTGAATGTGAGGATGCCTTTAAAATTACCTCCAACTGATGAGTTTATATGATCAAACAGACCATTTCTGCTGTAACCATTCATCTGGCATGAAACCTGTCCTGACAAGCATATTAAACCACACTGAATAAAACTTTACCTAATAAATTGCACAATGAAATCATAAGAAAATACACATAAGCATAAATGAATTTATAGATTATCAATAAAGATTTCCTTGATTACTGAAGCTCTTCATAAACAAGGTTGACTGGGTTATTTATCAGCAATCACAATTTGCTCTTAAATGAATTGTTCGCAAGTAGAATTTTATTGTCAATCCTTCAAACACAGTTTAATCTGATTGCTTTTATTTAGCTAATTTGCTGAAAGTTATCCACAATCTGACACTAGAAAAAAATGAGTGATAGCCACAAGATTTTAAATTATATAAAATTTCTGGTTTCTTAAAAAGAGGAAAAGACCTTTGTATTAAAAATACTCACAAAATTCAATGAAAAATCATAATTTCTGAATTGTTCCTTATCTTAAATTCCCTATGTTAAAGATAAATTATCATCTGAGTAACAATATATGTATATACAAATCATAAGTAAAATTAATAGAAAATCATAATTTCTAAGAAATTATTGTAAAAAAAAAAAAAAATTTGAATTTTATGTGTGGTATGAGTCTACATCAGCATTAACAATAAAAAAATAAAGAAATAATATTACCTAAAAGATGATACATGGATGTGGATTGGTGGTCCTTGATTAGAACGGTCCCACAAAACTGTCCGTACACGAGGGAATCTCAAATCTTTCATTTCATTTCTAGAGAGAATAAAATAAAATTTTCAAAAAATTTATGGTTTCATATTTTTATAGAATTTTGTAGGACACTCTGTATTAATGAGTCTATCTTTGTGGTAAGGCTAGATACTGTCAAGTTTTTGATTTCAATTCTAATAATTTCTAAGACCAATTTTCTACTTTCCTTATCACACAAGGTAACTCCACTATATATATATATATATATATAGTGTATTTAGGCAGCAATCCATCTTTTATGCATGTTTCATTAAAGACAAAGTATTGCAATTAAGCTTTTTATTTTTCTTGTGTTTTCTTTTCTGGATACACAGCATATAGAAACTGTCTAAATGTTCTGTAATTCTGAGTGCTTTTGGCTATACTTTCAGACACTATCAAGGATGATTTTATTTATATTTACTAGATATGTGGGTTAGTGAAAAACAAAAGAAATAGACACTCTCAAAACTATGTTTGAAAAAAAACTCAGTTCATAGGTAAAGTTAAGGACAAAATCAAAAAAATAAACTCCCATTCTTAGACAATTCTTATAGAATACAGTAACAACACTTTAAAAACACTAGCAGAAACTCTTGCCACCTTAATTTTAAGAGTGAATGCCCACTCAGATACAAAATAGCAATGATAAAAAAACTTCCTAAGAGAGCACACAAAAATTCATCCTTTCATCTACTTTTCCTTAAAAAAGACTTTGCATGTCAACTATAAACAAGATGAATCTTCAATTAGAAATATCATAAAGAAATACACTATCCCAGTTGACCACCAAAAAAATCAAATTAATTATTGATTACAAAAAATTTAAAACAGCTAACCTTATCCTCAAAAATAACAATACACCTGCAAAATCAAAACAACAAAAAAAATGAACATTATTTATGAATTCAAATGCCCCTTAAGGAATTGTGTTCCTGTTCAAACCAAACTCATAAATAATTACACCATTCACACTACAACATGCCTATCCAGATGACTTGTTACACCTATCTGACTGCAGCTCCATTAGAACACATTTAAACACAAACCTACTAGACTCCATTCAAAACATACTAGTAGAAGATACATGTATAATAACCTCTTCTATATGTAAAAAAAGATTAAAAATAATGGAAGAAAAAAGAAAAAGCCAACATAGCCACAATGTGCTGTGTTCAGAAAATAAAATAAAACATCCTTATAACTCTAGATACATACACACAACCTACACATCCAGTTAATATAAATAAAATTATCTTTGATAATGGCTAAAAATATACCTGAAAGCCCTTGGCATTACAAATCATTTGGACAGTTTCTACACATTCTGTGTCCAGAAAAGAAAACACTTGTTTGAACACAAAAAAAATAAATAAAAAGCTTAATTGCAGTACCTTGTCTGTTGTTTTTAATGAAACATGTGTGTGTATATATATATATATATATATATATATATATATATATATATATAAAATGAAACCAAATCTAGATTAAATCTGACAGAATGATAAAATAAGGAACAAATAGGAAACATAAATTTAACATGTTTCTTTTTTTATTTATACTTCATCAGAAAAAATGTCCATTAGAATTCAGACACATACACACTAACACCATAACACAAAAACATGTGATATCTACCTGACCAATGAAAAACAAACAACACAGAACTCAAAGTACAACAACATTCTTCTCCATAACTCATCTCCCCCAAACTTCCTGATAAAACTTAAAAGTGAAACATTTATAAACATATATATATATATATATATATATATATATATATATATATATATATATATATACACACACACAATATAATCATTCAATTGAAATACATTTCAGCCAGACTTAGGCTCATGCTGATTTTCTTTAATACATTGCTCAATATAATTTAGATATAGCTGCATACAATGTGTACATTACATTTTCTGGATATTATTTTTTAAAAAGTACTAATTCTGAGCAATTGCCAATAGGTTTATTACAGTTAAATTTTTTGTAACACATGTACTTCGTAATTTTTTTTTTTAAAGAAAACAAAAAACAAAAAAAAACAAACAAAATATACACTCCCCCCCCACACATATATATATATATATATATATATATATATATATATATATATATATATGTATGTATGTATATATATATATAAGCAATAACAATAAGAATTGTTTTACCAAGAAAAACAGTTAAAAGTGTTTCTAAATGTTTTTAAGGTGACCAGCCTTTGTAGTTACAGTGCTCAATATCAAGAGACAAGGTATTAATAATAAATAAGCATTAATAAGTAAACATTCTATACACATACACAGAAAGTAAATATATATTATATACAAGATTAGTACTAAATAACTAAGATTAAGTTTAGTTGTTCTACCAATAATCTTAAGCATCTGTTATATTTTTATTTATCAATTTGATATAAAAATTGCACACGGTATCTAAATTATGACAACCGTTGATTTATATATAAATATTTACAAAAATATTTTTGAAGAGACTTTTTTTTAACCAATTGGCTTTTCTCAACTTACACGTAAAACATGCAATACTCAAATGGTACATCACTGACTGTCTAAAAACGATAGTATTTCTAGTTTTATACTAGAATAGATAGTGAAGTTCAAGTTCCAAACTAGTCTGGTGTGTTCACTCACACCAATGCCCTTGGGTAAAGGCATGAATCCATCTCTTTTTCCTCCAGCTACGGGTTCAACAGCAATATACACTAGGCTCTCAGATAGGGTATCAAACAGTCTAGAAAGAAAATACTGAAATCACAGCCACGTAACAGGTAACCACTCCACTAGAATTCTTTCCTAAGATATCATGGCAATTCCCAAATATTAATGTAATGGAATTTGTGGAGAGCCATAATCATCTACATCCTGAAGTGATATGACATTTAAAGATATATAATATGAGAATGTATAGGATGAGTTGTTAGAACATTCACTTTCTAACTATAAAAGCCCAGATTCAAATCTCATCATGGTTGATTTGTCAGGAAAGTGACTTCTTGATGTTATCGCCTTGGGGTGGTGATCCCAGCATGCAGCACCTTCAGAAAGCACATGAAAACCATTTCATGGGTTGATCCAAGCCTTGTGAGTGAAATGGGGTAGATGATACGACAGTGCTGTTAGATAAAAGATAAAATTTTTTTGCACAGAGTTTTTTTCCTGAATCCCATTTATATCCAAATTTATAATTATCAATAGAATACCTTAGGGTGAATAAACTTTTTTCCTAGGTTGTCGGGAAGGGGTCTTTATATAAGATCAAAAACAATAGACAAAAAATATTTTTAGTAAAAAAAATCAGGTAAGTCACTTTTATCGAACAGCACTGTATTTAGGAGCCAATGAGTGTGCTAGCACAAAGTTACAAGTCATCATTACCGTGGGTTTGCATGTACTAGTCTTGTTCAGACTGTTGATCACACCAGATAATGTGCTCTCTCCAACAAAATGTTAAAAAAATGAGCGGCCAGCTGTTATTATTATTATGTCATCAACAAATTCTGATATACCATCTCAAATTCAATGAAGTTCCTTAAACACCACATTATATTCCTGTATGTGATATATGCTAATAAATCCAATAGATTTATCTCACTCTGACAAGTAGATCCATGCCTGTGAAAAGCCAGAATGTAAGTCACCAAACCTTATCTCTTTATTAGATATTTTACACATACACATCAGGCATACATGTACAGAACATACATACCTATCCCCAGCCTTATGAATGTAAGACTTACAGTTATAACATGTTTAAACACCAGTTCTTGCACAATCACCGAAATTAAGCAATGCTGAACCTGGTCAATAGCTAGATGGGTGACTGCTTGGTAATACCAGGTGCTGTAAGCTTGGATGTAAGGGTTAAAACTTGGTATTGGAAATCAGAGAGCCAAGTTCCAATTACAGTCAGGTTCATTATATTCACTTGCATACAAATACCCTTTTACTTCTCCCCAGCTATGGGTTAATTAATAGGACTTGCATCAGTAAATCATTATTATCTCTCAAAAATTCTCATAATCTTAAAATATTTTCTGTCTTTAAATAAGATGCAAAAGGTTGCTAAACTGTAAAACAACAAATTAATCATAAATGTAAAACTTGCAATATGTGATGTGCATATATATATATATTAGTGCTATGACTTACTTTTTGTAAAATAATTGATTTCCTGTATCATAATTCAATTAATTTTTGTTCAAAGATAATGAAGAAGGGTTTAATTCAATTTATTTCTTTTCCAAAAGTGTCACCCAAACACTAAATTTCTAAAATTGTATATAAGTATAAATAGTAATTGTCTTTCTGGAATCTTCTAAAACTTGTTTTTGCTTTTTCATAAGTTTGTATATTATGCTATAGCTATAAACTGCTAAAGGCATTAAAAATTAATCAAGTACTATCCAATGACATCATGAAAAATAAAGCGTCTGAAATATTTTTACCTTTTTTTGCATATATGGTAAAGAAAAGTTATCAGGTTAGGGGTAACCTTTTTCAAGAACTAAAACAAATTAATGCCCTTTTTATTACTTTTGAACAAAAGTTCATCAACAGGAACATAGGGTTACAAAAAGGTCATTATATATATATATATATATGTGTGTGTGTGTGTGTGTGTGTGTGTGTGTGTATGTATGTGAAATTTTGTTAGAAAAGTATGCATCCTCCAGCAGAATTTGAACCTGTGTTCCATAGAGGAAACTGTCATTAGATCTGATGTTCCTTAGACCATATCATCTCAGCTACATAGGGCCTCCTGAATAATACTTTTGAAATACACATCTTTTTCCTAATTCTTGAAATATATATATCAGCTCTGTTTGTATCTTAACCTAAACAAAGACAATTTTTATGAAATGGATTTAAATACAATAGATTTAAATAGATAGGGGGACACAGGTTTGAATCCTGCCATATTGAGGATATATATATAATAGCTAGGAAAAGGCGAAATTTATAAGGCATTTTTTATTAAAAAAATA